AGCAACGTTGTGGTTGTATTTCGCTTAATAACCTGCCATGAAAATTATAGAAGGCAGAAAACAAAACGTTAAACAGAATAAATATTATTTACAAACCTCGTGTAAGCCTCTCGAACAAAGAATGCCTACTTTCTATAGAAACACAACTGAATATCCAACTGATTTTGTACACTCACCTAATGTACCAGCAATGAGGTCCACAACGCCATCCACGAAGTGATTCGTTGAGTGGGCTCCTCCTGTGTTCTCATGCATTTACACTGCAACTTTTAGCCCGTAAGCAAAGAAATCAGCAAGTATAAGCAGGTAAATTTCAGATTAACACACTGTATGCCGACAAGGGTGATATATGACTCATTACTTAGTCATCTAGAGCTTTACTAGTCATCTAGACAACACAGACAATCTAATAACACCTTTACAAATGTAAGGAAATGCGTCGACGATGGATAATGCTTCATTACAACCAATGAAGTGAGAAATTTGCATAAGCACATAACAGGAAAAACAGTTGAAAAACAAGATAAAGGAAGACATCCAGTCACCGCTAGCGCGCAAAATGGGTACTTGGATGGCCCGTCTTTACTGGTTATGCTAGCCCTACCACAATTCCCATTTCGGATATTTGCTGGTTTAACCAACGTGGTTCCCTAGAGTCTCGAGGTTAATCTAGCCAAAGTCTGCCCCAGTTCGTCACCACCAAGGCAGTCACCAGTCGTTTCCCTTGTGGAACAGAGAGAGATTTACCATCAAGCGACTAATTTGATACCACGACGGTGGTGAATACTGTGTTGGTTTACTCTTAGCTGGGCTTCCTGATGGAAACGCCGAACTCTACAAATGCACAAGTGGCTTGTGATAAAATGTCCAAAAACAGTCAATCAATAGCTATTTCATAACCAATTTCATTAGTGTTACTTTAAACAGGCCACTTATTTCATTAAAATATACCTATGCGTTCAATATACAACACAGCACTACAGTAGCTTGGATACAGCGATCCTACAAAACAACGTCCTCATCCTATAGTTACATCAACAAAGCTTCGATCCAGATTCCTAGCTGAGCTCTGAGCACTGTAAACGAATACCATGTCAGCATGCATGGTGATCTGCATCACCACCATTATGCTCAGAAACGAATAACATGCTCCAATCAACATTCGCTTCACATCCAACGATCTATTGGAGCACACTGATCAACTAATGACGTCCAACAGTGGACGATTCGACGCCTCACTGTTGTCCCGCCCAATTCCGAACTACAGTTGACTCAGCTACCTGTAATCCATTTAATCCTGAAATGTGTCGAGTGGTAACCACTAAGCTCAATTCGTCCACGTAGCGCACCAGATCTGCCGAGTGAGTTCCACTTTCTTGATGAACACCATACTACAGCATGTCGCACTCTCCACATTTCTAGCAGGAATACAGCCATCTTTACCACCCAAAACTTTTTGGTACGCTTCTAAGTGGAAGTGTAGAACCCCTCATTTTAGATCACCCTACAACAGGACTATTTTGGGACAGGCATTTAGCGGTTTGACATTCGGAAACACTTAACGCCCTTGATGAGCTAGTAAATCAGTTCGGGACAACTATGATAAAATATATATGCATATACGTAAATGCATGTATATTGTGTATTTCTGACACAGTTTGCCTACTCTCCAATCATTTTTGTAAATAAGACATGTACAGAGGAAAATTAGACAACGTACGATAGAACATTGAACAAATACCAGAGATTTATGAAAGAAATCAATCAATACATCGACAACAAAGACTACATGATAACAGGGAGAACCCGCTTCATCGGGAATAGATTAGCAGTAACTGGAAGCACGAAGTGTTCCGCGCTTGGTTGATGTGAAAACGATGAAAGGATCACAATTTCTACCGGTGTAGGCAACACATAAATGAGAAGGGTTTTCATAACAGAGTAATTGATGTTATTCACAAAGTAATAACGCTTGTAGGTTTTGAGAATCTCAATATTTGTGCTGGAGAAGTGTAAAAACGCGAAGTGACACATTACAGAAGAGATCTCCACCAGACTGCTTTAGTGTGAGCGCATCGGTTAGAATGCTTGGAAAGCTCCCAAAAACTCAGTACTGGACATAGTGCCATCTTTGACTTGAAACCAGTGTAAATCAGATACAAACTATCAATAGGCTAGATCTTATGTATCAACAACAACAAGATCAACATGTCGCAATAACGATAGAACTTACAAGCTCCCATTGAGATATTAACATAACGCCAGATTAAAAATATAGCTATTTTCATTCTACAACAACTTCTTCTTGACTAACTCGTACAGCATTCGTCGCCGATAGTATGGCATGTGTTGCTGTGTGAACACTATCGGCGCTCTTCTGGAAGCGAATTCTGCGAATTTACACAGAAACACGCCACAATCGCTGCCATTCATCTGACGAGGAATATCCTAAATTTACAGTCTTTAGCATTGCAATAGCTTTATTCTAACTTCTTCAGCAACATAGATTCTACTCCGTAAACAACAAGCGAACAAACAACGTAAACGCAAATCATTGCCAATGGTAATGACAGGTGTTTAACTAATAAGAATCAACGTTACTGAAATCCTCACCGTGCGTAAATTAAACTCCCATCCTTTGAAATCAAAGACCTGTTTCTTCTTATCTTTGCATTCTTCAATGAGGTAGTTCCTGTTAAAACAGTATTTTATTCACTTACGTTCAAAACACAACATGCAGCTTACTTCAGAAGGTCGAGGCACTTTTGGTTTCTTCCAAGCAATGAGTCATAATAATCAATGCGTCTTTCCGCCAGATCAATTACCTAAACGGTAACGAATTCATGAGAAGACTTGTCATCCTTTAGGAACTTTTAAACTTATGCTCACCGCTACACACCAATGAACGCTGAGGTGTATCGGCACCAAAAGTATGTCGTACGCAAAGATATCAACTTTTCTCGTCCACCTTTTGACAGAAGCATAGCCTTTCGTGGAAATACTCGCATAGAAGAATGTGTTGAAAGCATACACCTACAAATGCACCCTGATTCACTCAAAAACATGACTTACTGTTTGAAAATGGACCTAGGTATGGTTCTATAACAGTTAAAAAAGAAAGGTAAACGCACCTTTGGAAGATCCTTCGCGTCCATGCTTCTTTGACAAACTAATTGCAAATAAAAATTTATTACTTCATCGTTCAACCAGTCCAAACCAGATAACGTTGAGAGGTCCTTCCGCGTCAACTATAAAAAGAAAAAGATAGAGAAGAAAAATGCTGTAACAATTCACAAAAATCCCGTAGAATCATCAGCATTAGTAATGCATGCAGTAAAAACAAAGATCAGTATGTGTTTATACCGTTCAACACACACAAGGTTGATAAAGATGCGTTTCAACGGCTCCATCTTCATCAGAGCCGATGATCCGAGTCGATGGTCCACAGTTACTAGTGTTCTCGAGGTGGCGTCTTCGTCGCCTATCGAACCGGTTATTCCTCAGTGGAGCATCTCTCTCGAACGGGCCGTACTTACTGGGCAATACTCTTTTATACAGGATGGTGGATGCTGATAACAGTAATTGGCCGGTGATAACTTGTATCGTTATCACCGGACAACCACTGTTATCAACGTCCATCGCCCTGTATAAAACGGCATCGTCGAGTGAGTATGCCTCATTCTAGGGAGATACTCCACTGAGGAATAACCGGTTCGATGGACGACGAAGACGCCACATCGAGAAGAAGAGCAACCATCGACTCGGATCATCTGCTCTGGTGAAGATGACACCGTCGGAATGTTAACCGAACAAACATCTTTATCAACCTCGTCAAAGCTCAACAATATAAACACCTAGTAACATAATATTTCACTACAACAATGGGAAAAAGTTGCGCAGATTGCAGTCCAAATTATAGGCTGTTTTATTTTGTGCCGAGTACTTTACTAGGATCTCAAAAATCCAATATGGCAGATGAAGCACATCGTTTTGTCTGGTTAAAAAACGTCAACAGACCAAGAAGAATAAGACGTCAAAATGAAAAAAGAGAAGAGAGAGAGAAAGAAGCAAGTAATTGTACTTTAAAGCCGAACGCCTCAGTGAGTTCTTCCGATTCTGGTAAGCGTCTGTTCCATATGCGTTGACATAGCTCCTCAACTTCGGCAGATAGCGCTGTAAAAAAAAAAACTTTTACGTATTTATTTCTATCGATTTGTTGAGATTTCGACGTAAACTGTATGTCACAATCACAGGATGTGAGCACTACGGCTTTACTGATCACTAACGGAATTTCATGCATCGATTTCTAGCGTTCTAATTGAAAAATTGGCTATGATAATGCAGCAACAATTTTTTAACTTTCACTTACTACCTGTTCTTTTCACATGGCAAGCTACGATGTGAACTACAACCGCAGAGATGCTGAAATATGAGCCAAACTCGGAACTTCGGGTTTTGCTCATATCTCAGCATACCTTTGGTTGTATTTCACATCGTACCCTAATATGAATAAAGAATATGCAGTAAATAAAAAAATGAAACACTGTGATTTCGACCACATCTACAGCTTAACCGTTTTCAATATCGATTTGTGCACCTCGGATCATTCCCGCTGACAAATGATTGCTAATAGCGTTACGGTAAAAATCGAAGGACAGAAAAGCAACGCAAGGGGCTTCGGTTGGGATCGGCGGATAGCACGCGAGCGTTAGTAAGGGTAATCGGCGTTAGTAAGGGTAATCACGGATTCGAAGCCCAGCTGAAGCTCCGAATTTTGCTCACATCACAGAATTCCTATAAACGTAGAAATAGTTCTCAAGTGGCGTTGATAGTTGTAGACTAATTTGAAAACAGGTAATTTTACGCACGTGGGAACTCGTCCTTGATTTTGGGTTTCGCCGTTGGGGGACGAATTCCAAGTAACTCAAGTCGTCGTCGTGTCTGTTCCTGGATACGTTCTCGTCTACGTTGTCGAGCTAGATGTCGTATACGAACTTCCTCTTGAAGTTCAATCTCTCTATCACGCAATTCTTGCCTTTCGGCAGCAAATCTAAACAAAAAACCACTCTATAAATATGCGGAATTTACATTTACTCTTAATTAACTCTTTACCTGTTGTACTTCTGATCTGGTGTCGGACGTTGACCAATGTTGTTCAGTTTTTCCAGCAGTTCTGTGATTCGATTTACTCCAGCAGAGAATTCACTCGCCGGAGTCGTTGAACGGGAGCTGGAGACGAAAGTTAGAAGGCTTACAAGGAATTACTTTGTAAGAAATACTACTTATACCTCTGGATTTCAGAATTTGATAGAATACGTGGGTCTTCACCGTTAACAGCTTCGGACAAAGAGGATTCACTAAATAAACTAATATTCGACAGATAATTTGATATAGTAGTCCGAATTTAAATGGGTATGCAGAAGATTAATTGTTAATACGGTGGCCTGCCTCTGGAGGAGCATGTATTAGACTGGTCAATGAACATGTAGTAATAAGGCATAACATAATTCGAAAAAAATATTTCAAGAGAATTATGATGCCAAAGGTTAAAAACAATGAGTCTAATTTAAGACGTGATTATTGTGGCTTCCTTAATAGCTAAGATTAAAAGTGTGATGAGAGGGAATAGAAAAGAGGAAAGACAGAGAGTGGGTGGGAGAGTTGGTGGAGGTGAGAAAGGTGAAAGGGATAAGAGAGGTGGTATAGGTGCGAGGGCTAGGAGAGCGAGGAAGTGAAATGCAAAAAGAAATAGGTGAACGGGCGAAAGACTGAAAGAGAGAAAAAAAAGAGAGGGAGAGAAAGTGAGTGAAACGACATGGACACACGATCAAATGTGGTGCAAAATAATTATTGTGGCATGAGCTCTTCACATTATTATCAAAAGTGGAAAATGGGTTATTTTAGAGAATCAACTACCAACGCATCGAGGTTTTTTTTTGCTGCAGCTATTCTACATGGTTTAAAATTCCTAGACTCCAAGAAGTTCTTCTTCGTCCTCCTGAACATTAAGGATTTTACTCCCTCACCTCAACTGTTCTGAAGAAGATTGTCGCTCAAAGGACTTATTCAAATCTTTTGTCTCAGGCTTATTTTTAGTGGAGTTTTTCGGCAAACATTTGTCCAGAGCAGAGCGTACCCTATTTATGCCATCATATCCATCAACCACTCGCTTCGTCTTCCGAAAAGGTCTGAAACGACAATAGTTGGTTCATAAAAATCTATCCAGTTCAAATACTAGGATGGATCTGCGCTCGAAATTTCTCCGCATGCTTTCGAACCTAATTTAAGCATTTTGCAAAACTATAGACTAACTTGGTTTTATCTACTGTCTCAGGAAACGACAATTTATTTGCAGCTGGGTATATAACTTTATTTCCACCCATTTTCACAAGCATATCCAACAAGCAGTCTCGGGCAAGCAGATTTACATTCGAAGGCTGGAAAAACGACTGAAAACCCTATGCACTTTAAATGCATATCAAGAATAAAATATATGAAACATTCTTCATTTCGAACCGTTGCTCCACTTCGTGGAGAAATGTCGTCGCGTAGGCGAGCGAAATTTCGTTCGAAAGACGTTATGCTTGATTCAGAAAACTTGGCCTTCTGGATTCCAGGTCTACGCCTCTTCCACGGGTCATTGTCTGAAGATCACATTTTTATATATTGGGACACTCATACAGTAGAAATCTACAGCTATATAACCAACTGGCTAGCACTTGTCCGAAAACACCTTTGAGAAGATAAAACATTTAAAATCGTTACAGATCATTACGGAGTCCTGCAAGACAACGAAAAATATTAATCGAAACTGTAGCTCGAGATAGGTGTAGAGGAAACCACAGGCATCCCAACGATAACTCTAGCGACAATAAGGTCCCGCTTATACTGCCCTTCATTTCAAATGAAGTAAATGCAGCCATAAAACGCTGTTTAAGAAGGGCCGGTCTAGAAAATTCGGTAACGATAATTGAAATACCATCGAGTAATCTAAGACGCCGGCTAGTTCGCAACCGCCTATACGACCGTCTATGTGCAACGCAAAATTGCATAATATGCCCCAATGGTAGAGACGATGACTGCATGAGTTCGGGTACAGTCTATCTAATCTCTTGTAAAGCTTGAGGGGACGAATACGTTGGCGAAACGGGTAGACCACTTTGCTTCCGTATAAAGAACACCTAAACGGCAAACGTAAACCAAATACTCCACTAGGCACGCATAGGACGCAGAAACATAACGGAGAAGATTTTGAAGTAGGGGTTACGATACTCGCGCAAGAATCGAGAACACAAGCGCGCAAAACTCTAGAGGCATTCTGGATTAATTCCAAGAATCCGAAAATGAACCGCAGGGAGAATGCCTCATTATCACGCGTGATATTGAGCAGTATATAAGCGTCATTTTGATGAGAAGGGCACAATACGATCCGGTGTGAACTCTGTGCGGTTGGTCTCTACATGACATATTTAGTGGAAAACTCATAGAAAGCGGTGTGCAAAGACTCTGTGTTCAATGTGATTGCAATTTTGGTTCAGCAATTTCTCTGTTTGGTTATGGAGGTGTTTGGGCGTGTAGATTGTAGTCAACTTAACCTTTCCAGGTTCTGCGGAAGGCGAAATCCGCCGAAACGTCAGGTTGTACGTAAATGAAGAAAATAAAGGAACACCTTGTGTTTGCTGAACAGAAGTAGGAAAAGAAAACATTAACATTTTACCATTATGGGTTAAAGTGCCGAGGCGTAGACCATACGGAGTCCCCTGTCTACTAATGCTATCCTCAGGCGCAGGTGATGTACTGATTTGATCATGAGCACGACCTGCACGTAGAGATATCACATCCATAGAGCAAATTAGACCAGTACGTAACCACATAATATCAAAACATAATAATAAAATTTCAAGCGATTATAACAATACTCTACCCTCCATCGCAGATAATGAAGAACTAGATCGTTCTGGACTACCTACCGAAGACGATAGTGATGTGACCTAGAAAAAAAATTGAGCAAAATCCAGTAGTCTTAATCTGTGCAAAGACTTCACCTGTTCCCTTACAGACTCGACAGATTTTCTGTCCGCCAATATGGTTTCCTTCGGAAAGTTACAAACTTCAGCAACAATTTCCACATCCTAAATAATGTCCAGTTCACATAGTTAAACTGTAGAGTAACTGAAGAATTAAAAAGGCGTTGAGAGAAAAAAACACCGCTTTCTAATTATAAAAATAAACACTATCTATGTAGTATACTCGGTGGAAAACTAAACGACGAAGCGATCCAATTTATGTGGGATATTTTCTATAACGTGTTTCACAAAAAACAACACGTTTACGTCAAGTAAACCTTTCCTATTCGGGTGGACCGTGCAAAGGTAATGTCATATCTTATTAATACTTGGTATTCTATTCTATTTATTCTAGGAATAACATAATTGGGTAAGCAAGGATAGCGTGAGAGAATGCACAAAGGAGAATGTAACCGTATGCTGTGGGAATTTTCGCCAGCAAGGAGCAGAACTGTTTCGAGAACGTTTCGTAACAGTTAAAACAACGATAAATACGGACACATCTCTCGAAAAATCGGAGTAAAAGCGACGTTGACCCCTCCGTCCCATTCTAGACTAACGATTTAACAATTACTTTAGGGAAAAACTGCCATCTTGAGACACACGAAAGCAGTTTCAGCTGCTCCAATAAACCTTCGCAGCCTCAAGAGCTACTTGAATCCTTCTTCCTGTGACCATTTATCGCTTCTCTACACCGAATAACCCAACTACTCGCTTCTCTACACCGAATAACCCAACTACTTTCCACATCAATGTTGTCAACAATTTTCAATATATATATATATATATATATATATATATATATATACCTAACGTCGGCCACAAAGGACAAAAGTTCCGATTTACGATGTATTTGAAATATTGTTTCTCAAACTTTGCGACTCCGCCTTCTATTTGTGAGGAAGAAAATCTCAAATGTCCTTGTAAATTGTTCTGAAGAAGTTTGATACCACTTTCTCTTTTTGAGCTTAGCTGACCTTACTGGAAGAACTGTTGCATTCTCGGTAAAAACGATAATTGTGCAGGGTCAGCATATATTTACATGTTGTACCTCAAGCTCCACCGAGCACAAGGCAATTCACTCTCACTACGGCTCAGTCTAAGCTTATAAAGCATGATAATACAAAAACTATGAATGTTTGTTCTCTGGGCTGTAAAAGAAATAACACTAATCCCATTTAAATCAAAAGAAAAGACCTTGTTAATAAACTAAATTCCATTTCCAGCACATCTGAGGCCAATTTTAGTAAAACTTACATCGGCTTCGTCCTGCCGTTCAACTTCTTTTACGAACTGTATAACAACCTCATCCTCCTCATCCTGGTTCTCTACACAAGATGGAGATACACGAGTTTCAATGTACTCCACATCTTCGGTATTTCCATCGTCGTTAAAATCCAGATGTTCGGCGTCTTCAGTTCTACGTCGAATGTTTAGTTGCTTAAAATACAAATAGTGAAATATATCTATAAAAGTGCTAAAGAACGAATTCAAAACAAATCATTGGCCTGAAATCGTTACCGCATTTACAGGAGAAAATACACTGGATGTATCAGATTCAACACTGGTTCTCGAATTGGTTTGATTGTTCGAATCGTCAGTGAGATCAACAATTGGCGGTTCCTTTGATAAAGCTAAAAATAAAAGCTCTTCGTAAGGAAGCTCAAGTGAATTATTTGCGAGCACCGACTTTGTATAACTGACCTCGCCTATGCCCAATAACTTACCACTTTCTCGACTAGCAGAAATGAGTTTCTCACTGCCACACTTATTTCACGTTAGCTGATGTTTCGTCGATTTCGCCTCCTTCAGAACACAGAACGATCAAATTTATGCGCAATATAGTCAACTAAATACCTCCGTAACCTTAGTAGAATAACTCGAAACATAAATCTCAATCGCATGTTCTGATTCCTCCATTTATTGGTGGAGAACAATTACTCAGTTCAAATTCGAGTAAGAAATTTGCCTTTCAAGTGAAGAAATCAGTCCGCCCTATTGTGTGATGTCGCATGTGATAACAAGCCACTCCTCGTTTCGATTCAACTTAGAAGAGGATCATCACTCATCCATACTAGTCTTTGCGATGAGTTTCCACGAATAAGTAGAAGACTTACAGCAAACGGTAAATGTATGAAGACATTGATTCCTATGCAAATCGAATTTGATTCCGGATCTCTCTGTTAAGGTCACGGAGGTATTTGATTAAGTGGAGTGCGCGTCTACTTGACAGTTCCAAGCTCTGAAGAGGGCGAAACTCGCCGAAACGTTGGACATCATGAGATCAAAACTGTGATAATCTCTTCTTGTCTGCTTATCAAGAAAACAGAAAAATGTACAAGCGAACTGCTTAAACAAGACCTGTTTAAAGTAAAAATTTATAGTAAAGTAAATGTAACTTATAAACGAGGCTTAGTAGTGAAATGGTCGTAAAGGTGTCCTAGTTTGATCAGCCCACTTAACACTACATGGAGCAAGTCAAAGATAATGGCAATAACAATAAAACCACCGATGCAAACTTTCTTGTTTAAGTTATTTAATACGAACTGGCTCGTCTCCTGCATGTCACACTACTACTTGCTGATGTTGACGCTTCAGTTTCATCCATTCCGGAAGCTGATCCGCTTGCTGGATCACGTGTTTCATCATTTTGGCCACTTATCAACGAATACATCGCTTTCACAGGACTGAGCAGGAAATTACCTGCAAGTTAAAATAAAATGAGTTTTCCTGACCAGCAAGTTACCAAATTTCCTAAAATCGATTTACCTATCGAGTTTTAAGCAGAACTTCGCAGAAAAAAAAACAACACTACTTTCCTGACTATGAAATGTGCGCATGACATATTATTCTCCCTCTATGACTCAACAAATTTAACAAGAAATTTACTGAGTGAAAATGATGAAGGTGACGTCTTCCTTCGTTTTGGATGACTGGACCCGGAGTTATCGGAGCTCGAGACGGAATTCAACAAGTCACGCTTTCGAACTAAAACTAAAATAGAAAGGTTAAGATTGTGATTATAACTATAGCCTCAGCTTAACATGGTTCAACGCCGATTTGGGTTCCCCAGATCAATCCCGTTGACGGGTGATTGTTGATGACTGTGATCGATAGAACTAGCTTAGAGACAGGCGAAACGAAGGACCCGCATGGTGTGGTGGTGAACGCGTTAGTCCCCGGAAAGGATACTAGCGCGTTCGCTCCCCACCGAAGACACCTGCGGACCTGAGTTTTTAAAACATCTCAGAATTATAAAACCAGTATTTTCAATGTATTTTAGAAGCATATCGTAGTTACAAAAAGCTGAGCATGTACGTAAAACAGTGTGGACAAGCTACGTGTCACTGCCATATCACGCTACCTCGATGTTCACTGACTCCGTCGGCAATGATGTCAAGCTGAGGTGGTCCTTCCAACGATCCTTGGGTGGTGCTGTTCGAGAACAACGTCTGCTCAGTTAGCGTCCAACGACGCATAAAATCCATCCTGAAGCACAACCCACACAGATCAAAGCATTACAATGACGAATACCCATTTCAATACGCATCATCACGCCTACAATAATCAGCTTAAAGTTTTTGAAAAGAATTTCTCACCAATCTCCACTTCCGAAATGTCAGTTCAACTCCTACCTTTTGCTCGCAACGTCCTATCTCCACCTAATTCACGTTTTTAGTACTTTACACGTCTAAAACAATCTTTGATCAATTTATACCAATCTTCCATAACCTCGCTACATTCTGTAGATAGCAAGACCTTAACTTCACCATGAAAACTGAACATTATTTGTCTAACAAATTTATACCGCGTTAGAACAGTTACACTATATTTGTTACACGGACCGAATAAGATTCAAAGAGGGATGTTGATAATAATTAGTAAAAGTAACGAAAATTGAAGTAAAACTGAAGTGCTTAACGAACGTCTAAAAAAGAGGATAACAATACAACGAGAACGAAGGGTTTTAAAAAAGAAAAACAGTGTTCATTTGAAAACCATGCTACTTCTGAAAATGAGGATTTGCACTACGACAGAACAGTACAAAAACAAGATGACAATGAAATTATAAATATATGTGGTCTGGACAACCACATAAACAATACGTTCGCCACCATTCAAGCATTTCAAAGAGAGTATATGCGGAGACTTTTATCCATAGACGTAGAATACAGCGATCGGGCATGGTCTCCAAATCGGACCGCGGTAACAGCTGCCGTATGAGTGCTGAACGTTGAAACCACCTAAAAACAATGTCGTTTTCATATTGTACCAAGAAATCTGGAACCTTTATTGTCTCTTGTATCGAGTTTCCCTATAGATACTCTGTTAGTGGATAAAAGAGGATAAAGGATAAAACTCTCGGCGTCGACCAATTCCTGAAGGAAGCGTCATGCATTCGACTACAGTAATCATTGCTTGAGGTGATTAAATGCATAACTGGCATTTACAATGACTCGCGGTGGCCTACCGATGTATCAAGCCAGCACTGTTACCCATGTTTGATACCAATTTGCCGAGCGCAGATGGACGAAAGGTTTAGTGGGCCAGGGGCGCAGGGATCGATCCCATGTGTGTATCGCAGGTGCCTATAGTCACTGCGCCATACGCGCCTCTTTTCCAGAGGAGTTTTGAGAAATACGGTTTGATTCCAGTGTATGAATAGGACTCCATTTCCCAACGACCATCACAATAAAACAAGCTTACACACCGCTTGCTTCACTAACCTGCCACGATTTTACATGCAACACTTCTACATCGCTCGATCCCACTGCCAAATATGTCCCAGAGTGGTCGAAACAAATGTTGTTAATAGAGTGCTTTCCGTCATGCAAACTCAATGTCTTTAGGTTTTTCAGCTTTCGGAGGTCCCATAGTTTAAGCTGGAAATAAAGCGTTTTAACACTTCAGTCATATATGTAGTAACAAACAATACAATTTTTGGTTCCTTCCACTAAAAAAAAAACTGGTTACTTCGCCGTCTTCTGCACCGGTGGCCAAATAGTAGCCATTCTCGGAGAATGAAATCGCTCGCACTGCACCTTGATGACCAGGGAAATTGGCAACGTTTGTCTGTTCTTTGAGATCCCAAATTTTCACCTAAACCACAATATTCGACAACGAAAAGGAGCGTAAGTCAGCATTACCGAAACTGAAAAAGGGTAAAAATAAACTTACAACAGCATCTGCGGTACCAGTACCGAAAATTAGACCATCTGGATGGAACTGCCCACAACAAACAGCGACGGAAGAATTATCGTCGGCTCGCACCTTCAAAGAACAAAGTGGATGTTACAAACTTAGCTACAGTGTGCGAGAATTACATCATTACTTAATGGTTACATTGTTCTCCGAAGATGTGAACCCATGAAATCAGTGTAACAGATGCTTTTGCACCTTGTACAATTGGTGTTATAGAAGAAAAGTACGCCCAGTGAGTATGAATGAAATCACTGAAGTGTGACGTCGTCAAAAATCTCTCAGACCTTGCACAACGTCTTCCCAGTATTCACATCGCTGAGCGCCCAATGTGAATCATCCGACACAGAAAGAACATAATCTCCGGTAGCATGAAGAGAAATATCTAGAATGTAATGCAACGCAGCGAATGAAACCGGTCATCTCACGATTTTTACACAATAATTACAAATGTGATGAATGTGAAATTGTACCAGTAACGGCAGCTTGGTGGATATCGATTATGGCCTTGCAGGTCTCCTCTCCTGTAGTCCACACTCGTACCTATACACAGGATAACACTTCAGTAGTACCTTCACTTTGGAAGAAAGAAGCTTCCTTCTATTTAGAAACCGACCTGAGCATCAGAGCTTGCTGAGACTGTATTTTTCGAATTTGAGTGAAGGATGACGGCATTGATTTTCTTCTGGTGTCCTTTAAAAACGTCCTGCACTTGTTCTTTCTCTGAGTTAAACAAAACAACGGTTTTATCGGCGCCTCCGGTAAGTACCATTTTTCCCTAGAAAACATGACCAGCTTCAGCGTTAGCGAATAAAACTTACTGGTTTAGCAGACACGAAATACAAATCTTTTGAAGCAATGCTATGCAGAAAAGTTGCACGAGCTGACCTGCACATCGAGAGCTGTAATTCCTGGTACTCCAGTGCTGTGAATTCCAGTATGGCATGCTGATTCACGGAAAGATGCAAACTCGTCCTGCTTAGCTAGCTCTTCCGGTAAATTTTTACCACGCTGCTTGCGCGCTGCTGTTAGAGTCTTCGCCTTTTCGTCCAGTCGTGCCAAAACCGCCTCAGAAATTCCTGGACTTTTTGCTTGTCAGTAACAATGGTAATAACGGTTACAACAACGACGGTAAGAATAACAACAATAAAAAAAGATCGTTACCAATAGCTAGTGATAATAATAATAACGATAGCAACAATAGTTCTTTTTTAACATTCTTATACGACCCGTTATCACATCAACTGTGCGGATCCCAGCACTTCTTGCAGTCGATTCATTTCCGTCGCATCCACCGCCCATAATGGTCTTCGAATATCTCGCGAGTTGTTTCAGCTACTGGTTGAAGATTTCGTCTTTACGAATGGTCAAAACTCCTTGCAATCTTGGAGAGATAACCGGGCTAAGGTGTTCCCACGTGGCTTAGAGGAGAGCATTGGGACGGGGACCGAACTGCCGCCTCTGCTTCCTGGCACCATTACCCACTGCGCTATCCCCGCCCTAGTGACAATATTACTAGCAATACGTATGAAATAATGGCAAAAATAATGAGGGATAACAACAACATAAACGGCTATGTTCAACAATTTGGAATGTAGACCGAACGCATTCCGAAAACCCACCTTGTGCTTCATCCACACTTTGCTCCATGTCGATGTCTCCAGCACCAGCATGAGCAACATGGGCAGCATGTGGCTTGAGCGTAGAGAGCGCTTCACGAGCTGCTGTTAGTTCCTTCGTGAGGCGGGCGATAACCCGGCATGCGGCGTCGTGCTAAAGAAAAACCCATGAACGTGAAAAAAGCCGATAAAAGTGGTGATGAAGTGTTGTCGATGAAGAGACACTAAAAGGTATAACCTCCACAAAACAGTGATGTACGCCAGGTGTCAAAAACAACATGAGCAGACGGATATTTCTCCACTATTTTTTTATTTTACTTCTCCGATGATATTCCCTGAAGCTAGTCTAAGGCAGACTGGACAACAATAGCCAAGTTAAGAAGCGTCGTCCAGCTTTTTCACTTGCTTTCAAACGAATCAACTTAGTTCTAGAAGGTACCCTAATCCTACGAGGTCAAGTTAATGACAGATAAATGATTTTCGCACGACCAAAGTCATAATTCAAATCAGCACCTGATAGAGTGAATGCGAAAGTTCCTGACGAGCGGTCTGCAGTTGTTGCCGAAGGGAGAAGCTATTCAGCATCACACTGTCCCATTCGTCTTGCAGCATCTTCAGGAGTGATGGAATGGACGTACCAGCCACATTACGAGGAATCGTATCCACAGCACCGGTTTTCAGTGGAATCAACTCAAAACGAAATCGCTTACCAAACGCGACGATGTTTGCGTAGTTTGAAAATACCTGACTCTCGCTCAACGAGTCGTTACTGACTGGATCGACTCCATTTTCCATAATATATTTTACAATAAGTCGCCGTTCATAAATGTGACCAGAAGGCGCGACTACAGGTTCTTCAGCGGGTTCTCCGCTTATCGTACAAGTAAGGACCATCCTGCTCTAAATCTTAAAAAAAACTAGCCAGAAAATCTTCCGATTAAGTCACTGCGTTTTCAAAATCCATCTAGAAAACACAACTGAGCTTGCAGAAAGCACCAGTACAACAGTACTGTAAAAAGCCAAGATATGAAAATATACACATTTAAAAACTAGACGGCAGTAAAGAATTGGCAGAGCGCCAACAGCGCGCGCGCTCTCGTAATGGTTGCGCGTTTCGGAATTAAACGACGAGTCGTGAACTGGAGCCTCGGCAGGAAAGAACTCTGCGGACACCGATTGTTCTACATCCAGACTTTGCGGCCTGAAAAGGTTAGCTTGAGACTTTCTAGATCGGTGTAAGAGAGTCTGCAAGAGTCTTTAGAACGAGAGGGTGTCGAGATATTGTCTTTGTAGGAGGATTACTAGTAGTAGTAAAACCTGCTACTCGCTCTAGGTGACCAGCACGGAAGAGTTTATTTAGAATATTCTCATATTCTTTAGCTTGTACGAGGTTGCGACGATGCTTTTATTCGGCTTGAATCCCAACAATTTCGTCTTAAAAGCCGTAGTGACCCGAGTCGATGGTCCACAGTTCGGCGGTTTTGCTTTCTTCAGAGCGGTAATGATCCTAGTTGACGGTCCACAGGTGGTCGTTCATAGGATATGAATCTTCGCTAGTCGCTCCGAGTTGGATCCTCTGGAATGGAGCACCTATTGAGTAGGCAAATGAGGTCCTCCTCACTCGGAAGTGCCTTTTTATTCAGAACAGTTGTCAACTGATTGTCTACTGGTAATGTGTTTTCATGAAGACAATCCAATTTGCACCAGTCGGTATTGGACTAAGCAACACCTAGCTCAGCAATATTCTTCCAGACCAACTTGTACTTAACCACGGCATTAATGGCGAAATACTTCTGGAATCTAAAACAGTCAAGAAATATACTACAAGTCGAAGTTAGGTAAAACATGGTTTGCTAGAACTCATTCATCATCCATCCTCACTTACCAGGTTACCTGTAGGAATGCTAAAAAGTTCTGAAGACATACTTAGCGCTCTAAAGGACTGATTTGGTCGTAGTAGCCCCAAGAATGAGGTCGGGTAAGGCCCTGGCCAACATGTACAGCTAAGGAACATATTTAAGAAGTTGATTGCCGGCGTCATAAGCAAGGATTATTGGGACTGTTTGCATTAAAACCATCTAAACACAACAGAATTGGAAGACGGTGAAAGAGTTATCCGAGTAGCCGAAAGCAAATTGTGTTAGTTTTCTCGGTAAACTAACTTCGAGTTTATAAGTGCTACAAAACAAAGTAGTCACAAAATGAGGACTTACCTTGCGAACACTTCCAGTACTGCTCATCACAGTCTCTTTGAGCAGTACCTTCCCACCACTCAAGTATTTTTCGCGATATCCTTTGTTTGGACTCATCCCCTTTCCTTCCATTGATACTCTATCCGTGGTGCCCAGAGAAAACCCTTTCTCCATAAATCCTATGGCTTTTCCAGACAGGATACAACGTCGCCGAAGTGCACGAGATGCGCGGTTTCGGACGAGTTCCCTTGCAGCGGGTACGTCAGCGTCGCATTATTTTTGGCTTGAATCGCGGCAGGCAATTTTTTTTTATAAACTAGAGGTGGTGTTGCACTTTACAAGCACTCTTTGAAAATTACGTTTCTTTCCTTGATTCCTACGGATCTTTCTAACCAGAAGTATCCCAGAGATTGTGTTTTATGAAAAGTTTCCGAAATCTCTGTCTGACATATATCTATCGCTGCTAATCTGTTAGCCTCATCTTGTGTCCACTTCTACAGGTTCTTGAAAGCAGGTAACCATTTTTCATTGGTCTGTTTTAGCCGGAATGTTCTTCGCATTTAACTTTCGATTAGTTTTATCCGTCTGTGAAGAGCTTTGTTTCAGGACTTATGACAATGTATGATTCTGAAGAAGATGGCGATAGGCGGAATCGCGATAAGTTTCCTCGTGAACGAGACAGTCGTCGTGAGGACGATCGGTAAATTACTTGATACTTGGTACTTGAATGACCCGTTGTCACTGGTTGTGTGGGCTCCAGCATAATCTCCACTTTTTCGGAGATTTCCTAGTTAAGCCATTGTGGTTCCCTGGAATCCAGAGATGAGCCTGACCGAAGTCTGCCACAGATCTTCACCATCAGCAAAGGCAGTCGCCGTCTTTGTGGATCAGATGGAAATTTGCCACCATGCGACTAGTTGGATACCAGAACGGTGGTGGTTCCTGCTATTGGTTTACTCCTAGCTAGGCCTCATGATGGAAACGCCGGACTCCTTCCCAGCTTGGGAGACCCTGCCAGAGGATGAATCCTCTCGATGTATATCGCGGTCCTACACCCGGGAACACCCCCCAGCCACGACGGGTCGGTAGATTGATCAGTTTATAATCGAAGGTTTTCTAGATTCGCAAATATGAGTTGACTTTTTTGTTTTTCTTTTTCCTGTTTGTTCGTGTAGTGTAAACTGTCAACTGTTTTGTTCAAATTTTGTCGCCAATTTGTAGCTTACTTATAGGACCGATAGAAGGTTTGTGGTCAGCCAAGTATGCATGTTGTAGTTGCAGTATTGACTTTTACCATTATTTATACTCAGTTATGATACCTAGGAGCACCAACTCAAATCTTTTAGCAGTCGTATTTCGTGGAATTCGAATACTTTTTATGGGGTTCTGGAGTTGATGATGTTTCGACCTCTTGATCTTCATCAGCAGCTCCAAAATTATGCTCAAATTATGCAGTCTGGAGTTACATTCACCATACTTTTGTACCATGCATGCAGAAAAAAGACATTTCTTTTGCGTTCATGAATGTTGGTCTAACTAATCTTCTTTCTGCTTAAGGTGTCGGTGAAGGTAGAAAACCGCCTGCTTCGTTTCTAGAACCTATGGACGTGTTTTTTGTTTAGAACCTTTCGGTTCTTATAAGTGGTAGTTAGTAGTTATCGAACATCCAAGTAACATGGCTTTCTGTCCTAGGTCGTGCATGAAATTAAGTGTACTTTTGGAATTAGGGGCAGTATTTCATACTTGAAAATTAAGTGTTGTTATGAACTTACTATTTTCTTATTTTGAAGCTTCTAAGTATAAGCAAGTGAGTATAAGTAGTAAGAAAATAATTATAAGAAGTATTTATAATACGAGTACTTACTCAGTAATTTTCAGTTATGCTACGAAAAGATCGAGCTCTTCAAGGCGCGACGATGGTAAACGGGCTCGACATGAGTGAGTTTTTTCGCATTTTCGATCTTTTTGGATGGTTCTAGTTTCTCTTATTCTCGCATTTTGAACCGAATAACTCCTATTGTTCTTTGTTCTGTACAGTTAAACGGTTGAAAACTCTTCTTTTATACCTTATCATGCAGCAGTGAATCTGACAATGGCGAAGCAAAGAGCGATGAATTTTCTGGACCAATGCTTAGCTTCAAAAAGTTCCTAATGGCGCAGGTACTTCAATTAACCAACTGTTTATCTCCGTGTCCTTCCGCATTGTTTAATACCTACTGGACAAAATACGAAGTATAAGTGGGAGGTTTTCAAATTTCCTTTAGGACGATGATATATCGGATTCGGCTGCTTTGGCTGCGTACAATGAATACAAGCAAGAATATAAAAGAAAGGAACTTCAACGCTTTTTCGATGCACATAAAACTGAAGAGTGGTGAGACGAACATCCTTTTGACTATGTAATTTCCGTGAGAAAATTATTTGTGTTAAGGTAGTGAAATATTGATATGTTTGCAAAAAGGCGTGACCAAGTATCCGACTTATCCTGAGCGCGCTATTAAATTATGTGGCAGTTGTTTTTACGTAGTTATGTTAGGGAGGGGATATAGTGCATTGGTTGGTAATACCGTCTATCAAGAAGCAAAGGTTGTACTTGGCTCCCATCTACAACTCCCTCCCAGTTCACGTGGGGACGCCTCGGCCCTATTATTTTCAAGATTACAAGGAGAGGCGACTAGACCAGCATTCTACGGCTTTTATGAAGAAGACGAAACCATCAAGCAGCTGGTGAAACAACGATCGTAATGCTCGAAGATCTTTATGGACGATCAATGCGAATGGAACGAATAGAATGTAAAAAGCGCTAGGATCTCGGCAGTAGATATAATAACGGGTAATGTAAAATAAAATAAAATAAAATGAAACGGAAGCCATAATGGTGGTAGGATATTTGCAAATGTCCGGATCGCTGGTGACTGCGGTGAGGACCGGACACGCTATTGCCCTTTTCGGGGTCGAACGCGTTTACCACCACAGCATGTGAGTACTTCGTTTCGCCTTTTTCTTGGCCGCGCTATAAAATGAAAACGTTATAAATTCACACTTCTTTTGTTATTGGTATTATTTCCTCCAGGTTTCGTCATAAGTACCATCCTGATGAGTCAGCTGCAGTTCGAGAAGCACATTTGGGAGATGTCAAAAAACGTCTTGAAATTTTTAACGACTTGAAATCGAAAGGATGCTTTAACGATTTGGTCTTAGATCTACAGCATGCTCGCGAAATTATTCGACTAATGGATACGCGTGAGTTTCTTTTTTATTTACCTCGGGCTATTTGGTGCATCCTTAAATCATCACTTCCTTGAAAAAGTGGTTGAAGACTTCGTTTTTCCATGTTTTTTTTTGAAACTTTTTTTTTTTATTTGATTACAACTCGGATTTGTTTTGCAGTTGTGGTACGACTCGAGGGTGGTTCAGAAGAAGATGTTGAGGCGTTAAAGCATGAGAAGATTGAAGACGATTCGTTATTTGACTTGGGTGAAAAGAAATCAGATGAGGACAACGGTGTTGATAAAGACGAGGCGCGGGGTTCTGAAAGCGAGGGTAAACGTTGTACTTCTTTCCATAGTCAATCGAGGCACCACCATTTTTATTTTTACTTAGATGAGTCTTTTCTCATTCATAATCATCTTAAATTTTACGTTATTGTTTTTTCAGCTAATGATGAAAGTCGCGAGAAGCGCAGGAGGACTCTGTTGCACAAAACGAGTTCAGTTTTTATGAGAAACGTGCCGCCAGCCGTAAAAATTTCGGATATTGAAGCGGTCAGTTACTGGTTAAAAGTGTTATTTAATTCAGGAAATAAAGGGACAGCAACGTTTCGATGTATGGGGGTCAAAAAATTTAATGACCGATTTCAACTTGTGTTTTAAATTTGGCATAACCCAGCTTAGATCAAATTTTGTTAGTTAAAATGAAAGCGATTAGAATTGAAACATTTTTGCCAACGAGAAGCAAGTTTGTTTGTAATAGTTGAATAGAACCCTGGACCTCTGGAGGCGATAAATTCGTTGGAGGCAGTTTCGGTTTTAGCTCGATTTCTAAAGCATTTCCCGCAGAGCTTATTGAAATACTTGGGAAAGAGGTAATCGGTGCGTGAAAGGTCTGGCAACTATGGTGGATAGAGTAGAGGGCGGGGGTGAGGACTAGGAAAAAAGTTCTCTACAGTCGAGAAATTACGAAAACCTTTTTCTCGAAAAAAGTTTATTGATCGGTAATATGACTATCAACTAACATTTGCTTCATTCTACTATGTCCTTGTAGAGAACATACGTGTACAGAAAACACCGAAATGGATTCAAAACGAGGCAGAGTACTTCAAGGTGCTTACAGCAATGTATTTGGATAACGGACCATAGTAACATACAGTAAATAGTAGCATAGATATCATTTATGCCCACAGAACGATAGAACGAGATTCGTTCTTTAGTTATCATACTTAGAACCTCTAAGGCACCTAGTTAGTGAAAAACTATTTTTATTGTCAAAGAACCAGAAAGTCTGCAGTCGACGGGAATATGCTTGTATTAGATTAAACCAGCTTAGCGGAACGGCGCCGGAACACAAACCACCAAACGATAAGCATGACGTTTTGGTGCAGTTTCGGTTTTGAGAAGCACTGCGAAGCTACTTGGTGGAACTGTAATGGTACAACATCCAAAGAAAAGAAAAAACATACTAAACGTATACAAGAAAGAAAATATTACAAAGTGGACATTAATTTCCAAATTACATAATATTTGTGGTTGACTTTCAGGAAACTATACCGTAGAGCACTTTTATTTGTTACATAGCGCCCTGACATCCTTTGTTTACTTTGTTTAGATATGCAGTCGTAGTCCAGGTTTCCTTCGAGTTGCACTTAGTGATCCTCATCCTGAACGAAATTACTCGCGCCGTGCGTGGGCCACGTACAAACGTGACGTCAATATTAAAGAAATATGCTGGACATTGAATCAAACCAAGGTGTTCATGCAGTTCCTTTAGTCGTTTTTATCTGGACGTTATGTATATTTCTTCATATTCTAATGAATCGTGACCTTGTGAAAACTAATTATTCCAGTGCTTACATAATCCTGTATTAAGCTCAATGACTCCACAGAACTAAGTGTTATTTTAAATCGCGATCTGACCAGACGTATTCGTGGTATTAGTGGAGTAACATGTCATCAGGCAGTGGCTCAAAACGATATTAGACAAGCAGCCAAGGTAAAAATAACTATTACAACCCTATATAGATAACGTTGTGAATATTACGCTAGATGTAGTAATGACATATGCAGTTAAACTTACCTCTTTTTCTTGCAGCTTGTCGCCTTAATGGACAAACGCCTTGGTCTATTCTGTGAAGGGGAACCGAAGGAAGAGCGAGATAAAGACATATTCACTGGGGTTGACCTTGTGGCGACATCTAGAAACCCACTACTAAAACAGGTCGGGATGAAAAGGAAATAAGATGTACACAACGGGAGGAGAAGAGTCATAAAATCAAATTGTGATGGGGAGTTGAAGAATGTGATGTAAAAAATGGAAGGAGAATGTGAACAAAAGATGACAGAACCAGATAAAATGAATTTCCGTTTAAGGTTCGATCGGTGTTGAGAGAGTGCGACGAGCCTAGTGCTGAGGAAGAAGAGATGCTTGGTGGGTATAAACAAGGAGTTATAATTTGTATTTTATCATCTTTATCTGTACAAAACATAGGGTAGCGAATACATCATGAGGGCAGGGGAGCTGGTTCTACATATTTAACAGTCTCAAAAATCTAGCATATGAAGATTTTATAGTTCTATACCTTTTATGATGGCGGTGCATGTTTTATGACCCAATTTTGTCCAAGCATCTACCGCCTCATCGTGTCTGGAAGTTGTTCCTGGGCGTCAGGCTACAATGTACTACGGGGTGCTTCATCTTCCCAGCAAATTATCCCAAGCTGAGAAGGAGTCCGGTATTTCAATCAGGAAGCCCAGCTAGGAGTTAACCAGTACCAGGATCCACCACCTTCTGGTATCAAAGTCGCATATTGGCAAATCTCCCTCTGATCCACAAGGGCTGCGACTGCCTGTCGTGGTGACAACCTGGGGCAGACTTTGGTCAAGCTGTCCTCGGGGTTCCAGGGAGCCACAATGACTTAACCAGCAAAACTCCAAAAGAATTTAAACTATGCTAGGGCCCGCACAACCAGTGAAGACGGCCATCCAGGTATTCTGGTGATTTCATCCAAATGAGATTTTAATAGGTGCGATTTGTTATTTTATGCAGCAACAGTGATTTGGAAGCACACTGAAAGAGCATCACAATTATCGATAGCGCAGTCTTGTTCTCCTGCAAAAAGGTATAGGGTAGCGCAGAAGTAGAGGTACTGTTCAGTACGTGTAAAACTCTGGTTTGACCCCGATCATACTAACCAGGCCTTCCAACATTACAAAATAGAGAAATGTTACTGCACTGTTTGGGAAAGTCCCTGTGTACCATGAAAGATGGTGAAACTTAAGAACGTTTTTTTTTAACACGGCTGTCCTGGAATTCCAAGGAGAAGCGATCCGATTGTTTTCGACTACATACATAAGACAAGCAAAAGTCCTCAAGCGGTAACCGAAACCATGTTCATATCTAAAGGGCTTTGGTGAGAAAGGATGCAGGTGACGAGTCGAATGAATGAAAGAATTGCTGGTATGCGAACAGTATAGGGTGTTGTGTCAGTAAAAGAAAATTAAATATATCATCAAGCGAACACTAAATTTCCTTCTCTTGGTGTTCATGGTGTATTTGAATGAACTTTGAATACGAGGTGCGCGGATTCAGTGGAATAATAATTATTTCAAAAATAAGCAGTGTATGGGAGGTTTTTCATTTCATTCTAATTATTCAAACAATTCTAGGAATATCTCGTGGATCGGCATCAGCTACAAATAACGTACCTGACGAGAAAGTTCCGTTAGTATGTGACGAATCTCTACTGCATGCCCTCGACTTGTTGATTCTCTACCTTCGCATGGTGCATTCCATCGATTTCTACGGTCACATTGAGTATCCCAATGAAGATGCTATGCCTAATAGGTACAATACTTGTAGTGAACTAGGAAAGCAAAGCTAGCAGATGTCTAGGAAATATGCAAAAAAAAGTATACAGTGATTTATCATAATTACGGAGCAGTTGAGCCTTGAAATAGGTGGGCTTTCTGTACGGTGATATTGTTGGTTAAGGAGAGTGTCGTGATCATGTAAAATGAAGTCGTGTTCAAGCAAATGTTTAGGTGTGGAATGTTACATGTACGAGGCGTACTGCCGTCACAATTTGGTACTGCGGATGATGGAACAAAACTGGTTTCGACTAAGTTCAATACTGTATGAACCATATCATCGTTGTTTGGTCTTAAGCACTATAAAACTTCACAGTCCTATTTTTTAAACTGTTCATTCTCTATCCCTGTGATCTATCTTCTCTTCTCTTCTCTTACCTTCAAATCCTACCTATCCCATTCTTTTCTTTCTCTCTCTACATATATGTATATATATACATTTATATATATGTATGCACATATATATACATGTATATATGGAAGTGTATATATGTACATGTATATGCATGTGTATACAGATGTATATATATATATATATATACATACATACTCATATACGTGTATATATGCATTTAAGCAAGTATCTCTTACTTTAAGGAATTTGTAAACGGCTTCAATCAGCGTTTGGAAAGCGGTTTAATGCAAACATCTTTTGTTACGCCGGATGAAATGGAGAAAATGGGAAGGAAAGATGGTGATAAGTAGGTTACTGTTCTTAGCTTTTTTTATGTCACAGATTTATGATAAAAGTACACTGAAACGAAGAACTTCGGTTTGATACAATTCACCATACTGACTTGTGCATTGATTTAACATTATTTTTTTGTTCCAGAGAGGTAGAAGCCTTCATCCAAGCGAACACTGTTGAATTATCGCAGGACAAATGGCTCTGCCCTCTTTCGGGGAAAAAGTTCAAAGGTCCCGATTTTATTCGCAAGCATCTAACTAGTAAGCACGAGGAGAAATTACGCGAAGTTCGCGAAGAGGTCGGGAGTTTTCTAATACATTGTGGCTCAGTAAGCATTGAAAATGTTACTTATTTAGGAATTAATTCAGTCACATTTATGTTGAATGACTAAAGTGTTGAGGAGAAATTGCCAACTCTGCATTAATTTAGGCAGTCTTCTACAACAATTATCTAGCAGACCCGAACAGGCCAGTAAATGTTGAGGTAAAGGCTGCTCCGGCACCTGCGCGAGAAGACGATCGTAGGGATGACAGATATAGTGAGTCGTGCCGCGTTAACTCAGTACGAATCTGTCCTTTCAGATGGGCATACGACTATTTTGTTTGGGAAATTTCAAGATTTTACTGAATTCTTTGATATATATGCGTTGCAGGGGATCGTAGTGATCGTGCTGAGCGTGGGTATGCAGGCGGTGGCGATCGCAGTCGCCGAGGCTATGCAGGCTTTGGAAGTGGTCCACCGCGTGATCGAGGCCCACGTTTCACACCTGAGTCAGCTAGGCCGCTTACTTCATACAGAGACCTCGATGCATTCCCGATTGACTAATTACATGGAGTATTCATTCATCGATCAGTTGCAGTCATCCCATTTCGATGTCTACGTTTTATCTACAACTTCTCAGTTCTAGTAGAAAAAACTTCGAGTACTATTATGTCGTCAAGGAAAGAACCGTTCTCCTTTGTTTCTGTTTGTTCATAGTGTTTTTTTTTTGTGAAAGCTTCCAAGCTGTTAGTTGCAGTTATCTCCGGATGCACATTAAACCATGATCTGATTGGGATGTTGGTCAAGCACCCTGAATCCATTCGTGGGATGGTTGTTAGTGATTATTGCATGCTTGAAAGGTTGAATCCTATTCAAGGAGCACTTCACAGAAGTTACTGGCAAATCAGAATTGCTGGAAAACTTGGTTTTAATTAATTTGTTCTTACGAGCATTGTTCTGTGGTTGTTTACTCATGATCGTAATAATGTTTACATTGGTCACGTAAATTGTCCATTATATTTGTTTGCAGTTGTTTTAAAGTGACCCTATGAATTTTCATGTATCTATGGTTTTCGCACAGTACAGACATTGTATTTACACTGTTTCTTCTTTTCTGAATAGGTTTAGAGATTGGTTGAACCACGGCAATGTCTGGATTGTGGTTGGTTTAATACTTCTCTAGGGTTATAAGCACTATTGGCACGTAACAGGCAGTGTGCACTGGTATTGCATACAGTGTGGAAATGCTGATCGCTTCTAACTCCAGATCAATGCATCTCAGCTTATGGCAAGCTTTATCAGTTCAAATAAGAGCCCTTATTGTGTGCAGGTTTGTATTAAAACAGTTCAAGTCCCTTTATTCTACACCGAAGAAATTCTGGCTTTCTGGCATCCACGATATGTATCTTTCTCAACTTTCATCATTGACGGCTGTACTTCGAAAACCAAAGCTAGTGGGATTGGATTAGATTGAATGGTCGAGATTTTAGGAGTGCAAGGCGCAGTAATTTCCAACAATGCATCGTTAATGTTTGAGGTTGTCGTTCTTGTAAAGAAAGTTTGGAAAATTTGAATCCTATGTCCAATTTTATGTCAATTTCAATCTCTTAAATATATCTACGAATAAGAAAACAACTTCTAGGAACCGTGTTTACTTGTAGACCGGCGAAGCTACGCTTCCATAACTCTGGGTTTCTGAACTCTTCAGCTACTTCAACTATCGGAAAATCAGCAGTAACCTGTCAAACGAGCACCTTGGTTGCCATTTCATGCATAGTTTTGTTTGAGACTGACGTAATTAGAAAGCGACGCCCCAAGTAACACTGAGGTCCAATTAAGATATGTGAACTTTGTGTAAGCACATAAGTGCTAGAATTAAGTACACAAGAACAAACTTCATTTCAAATACGAGCATTATTATGCCCACGGAAAAATAAGACTGAGTTTTACAAAGACGAACTGCGGAGAAACAATTTAAAGAAATCTTTGAAGAACTAGAATCATCAAACGAAAATCACAGTAGTCATTCATGTTTCTCCTGAGTGGCCTCGATTTCCTTCACACGTTGTCGGTGTCTCTCCAGAACCTATAGATTAACACTGATCATAACGAGCTAGATACAGATGGTATTTTGCAGCAACACCTGAACTGCCATGAGACATAGATAACGTTCATAAAAACAATTGGACAAAATTTTTCAAGGAAGAGGCTTACCGCTTTGTGATTTTCAAGTTGTTTCTCATGATGTTCGATCTCTTGCTGAAGATGAGCTTTCAGTTCTTCAAGTTGTTGCTTTTGCTGGATAAACGGACAAAAAATTTACAAGTGCAAGTGTTCAGCAAACAAATAATATTAATAATTAGTATCCTCCCAATGGTTTACCGCCTCTTCGTGGCTGGAAGGTGTTCCTGGGTTTCAGGCTATGACGTTCAGCTGTGGGATTTATCCCCCGGCAGGATGCCCCAAGCTGAAGGACCCGGCGTTTCCACGAGGAAACCCAGCTAAGAGTAAACCAATACCAGAATCCACTGCCGTCGTGGTATCAAAGCAGTCGCAAGGTGGCAAATCTCCCTCTTATCCACAAGAACGATAACTGCCTGTCGTGGTGACGACCTGGGGCAGAGTTTGATCAGGGTGTCCTCAGGACTCCAGCGAACCACAATGGCTAAAACGGTAAATCTCCGAAGAATGGAAATTATGCCGGGGTCTGCACAACCAGTGAAGACGGGCCGTCCAAATATTCAAGTAAGTAACCATTAGTGTATGGAACATCTAGGATTCCATGCCAAAAGAGAACTGTGGAAGTGCAGTTCTACAACGAGAACCTTCTACAGTTCAACGAGCAAACTATCTCCTTAAAGGAATCATAGATGAACACTAATCACTACCTTCTTGTAGAAATATTCATCTTCTCTTGCTGCTTCCATTTTTCCGAACGCACCGCCAGCATCACGAATGGAGCCACCACCACCGCCACCCTACAATGTCGTGAAATGTGAAACAAAAAAAAGGTGAAGGGTCGAAAATTGAAAGCATACCTTGCCAACACCATCACCGTAACCACCAGACATAGCTCGAATGAAACCTCTAAAAATAAAACTTCTATTGAGAAGCACCTGAACTCGGACAAATACTGCGAAGAACACAGCACAAAGCTGTCGGCGCTGATCAATTCCTAAGGGATAAAAAAATACGAAAAATAGAGTTCTCGGTGTTGATCAATCCCTGAAGGTTGTGCCATTCATTCCACTCCATTAAGTATCGTTTGCAAGTAATTGAATGCATATCTGGTCTTCACAATGACTCGAAGTGGCCAACCGATATCGAGCCAGTGCTGCTATCCTCCCAGACAAGTCTGCTACCAATTTTCCGACCTCGGAGGGGCGAAAGGGTTGGTGAACCTACGACATGGGATCGATCTAATGCGTATTGCGGAACGCCTCTAACCACTGCGCTACACGCGTCAACGGCGAAGAATATAACTCTTTACTTGAAAACAAGGTAGTTCGTGGTTTTGGTGAAAGTTGTAAGAGTTTACGTCGCACAACAATAAACACTACGATCGATTGACATATATAACAACCATTGGGATTGACAGAAATAGTAGACAGCCTCATGTCAGGCACCGGAACGATGCCAAACGAATGGTAGAATCAAGCAAAATCAGCATGAGATGTGTAGCGGCTTGGCAAGGTTCCAAATCAACTGCTGCCATGAGGGCTGGGATCAAGAACAACAAAAAACAGCTGACAAAGAAAAAAAAGGGATGGGCCCATAGTTACCTTGCGGTTTTTCTCATAGACGTTGACAGAATCATTGACATCTAAAATGATTCACATTCACATAGTTGGAAATCAATAAAGCGAAATTGGTTACGAGTTACACCTTAACGGAATAGACCACAGATTTACGGCTTTTAACACAAGGGCAAAAAGAAGCCGTCTCCAAAGGAAATGGAAACTTGACATTAACAAAAATCAATCACAACGATGCTGAGACATTCGATTTAATCTCAGGCCAGATTGAACCACGATCGAATCTCCCAAGGGCCTTAGTGGTGCAGTGTGAAATACGCAAGCTCCTGGAAAGAATAATCGTGGTTCGATCTGGCCCTGAGTCTAAGTTTTGAGAACGTTTCACATCATACCCTCCCGTGAAAAAAAACTTAGATCACTTTATGCACATTGTAGAACTCGCTGTTAAGAAAAACGGAGTGATTGCGGATATTTTACGATTCGAGTGAGAAGAAATAATGATGGAGAACTGATTAGGGAATATTATATCACAGCATTAAACAATGCTACGCACTGATGCGAATGCAGAGATCGGCAGGAGTCGGATTTACAGCGAGACCGACAACCATCGGTGTAAGTAGAGAGGTCGTCGATTTACATCGAGGATGGTATCCACTTAAAACCCACAGAGCGATGACGACATTACGTCGCCATCGGAGCAAATCAACTGAATTCACGAGTTCCAGGGTGTTCTAGTAGAACTACTCGTCGAATTTGTGCACCTTTCTTTAGTATTCGACATATGACTCTAGTGACAAATGATGTCATCGTCCAAAGAACGCTGTCACATGATTTATTTCATCATTTCGATGGAAGTCTCATAATGAAAGTGTTCTGGATCAATCGGCGGAAATAGCAACACCTCAAAGTTTCTCTCCACCTACCTGGTGCCAGCGACAACCGGTGCTGATTCGCTCAAGAACTGTTGCACTCTAGTGAAGAGAATCAGATCACCATCGTTTCATATCATAGAAAAACAAAGCAGTTGAATAAAAGAATAAGTGAGAAATAGATGAGTGGAGTGGATCCCAAACATACGTCACCAAACGCAAACACACCAAAAAAGCGACGAAAATTCGTGAAAAATCGATGGGAAATGGCGGGTGTTCGTGACATCGTTGATGTTGGGTGATTGATAACAACTTGACTGATAGCCTGAAATCACTGTTAACATGACGGGCGGTTCTGCGATTTCAGCTTAGGCACTGAGTGAACCCAAACACTGTGCTACGTAGGTGGTACACAACTAGTTATTAGTGACAGCAATCAACTGTTGCCGTCTACTCGGATATCACCACCGCATTGACATCGTCACCAGCTTATCACCAGCTGTTTCGAATATCGCTTTTGTCGCGATCCATCAGATTTTTTCTTTGCAAAAAATAAACTTTGCCCAATGGAGCAAATAGGAACCACAATTCACGACGATGGGACCTCATATGAAGTCATATGTACACTCACACTGCGGCCTCCATGTCTTCTACAAAGGCCATTTTGTTTTCCATACTTTATTCCGGCGCGCAGAACTTCTTCCCTGTACGTCTTGTAACTAATCGATAGGGAGGCGAAAACAAATGTAACGGGCGTCAGCCATGGAAAGCTACTCACTACACTTAATACTTTGTAAAAAATTATCCCTCGAACAAATTTATTCGCCAACTTTGCACACTTATAAAGCATCAGAATATGAGTGATGTCACTCATACAACTAAGCATTAAATAAACACGATTTTTTGCTTCTTAATACGACATTTCTTCGAAAATAGTCGGTATTTTGACGGGTGGTAATCTTTTCCATAAACTAAATGGGTCATGCGGCGCGAGTGGCGCAGTTGTAGATGTGCCGTGAAATGAGTAAGGTCATAGTTCGACCCTTTGCCAGACCAACGACTTCCAGAATCCTTTCGGGGTGGGGAAATCAGTACCAGTAGTGCAAGCCCTCTCCAATCCACAAAGGCTGGTGATTGCCTTTGTGAAGATAATGGAACATTTGAGCACGGTGTTCTAAAATTCCAGGGATACTCTACTTGATCCGGCATTGAACGATATTCATAAGGAAGACCAGAGAATTTCAAGCAGCAGGCGAACCCAGATGCAAACCGGAACAGCGTCGTGGAGTATGGATGCAAGAGGATAAAGCGAATGCAAAGACTGCTGGGATGCACACAGTATGGGACGACAGGTCACGCAAAAGTTATGTAAAACAAGGTACATTTATATATAAACATGTATATATACATACCTATATATACACATATATACATATATATTCCCGAAACCGACTTTCCTTTACCCTCGCCATGATTTCAATGTAGTAAATCATTATCAATATAATCGGCACTAATTCCTTCATTGATAAGCTAACACGAGGTTGATAAAGAGGTTTATTCGGCTAACGTTTCAATGTTTTCGTCTTCCTCAAAAGAACAGTTTAGGATGGACGTCAGGACTGACATACAAGTTTAGCCAAGTTACACCAAATTCCAATCATGTAGTAAACAACAGTAGATACACTCATCGTTTCAGCGCTTCAGTCTATAACGTGGAGTGCGAGTGATTGTGCTATGGTTATTCACAGGGAATGAATTAACCTACCATATCTGCATTGCCCATCCTCTCATATCGAGAGTATCTGATTGTTTTTCTTCGAAAAAGCACGGTGTTTTCCTTCTAGAGCTCCAGCAGAGCGACCCAGTTGTCGGAATGATGTTGCTGTGTGCATTACATCTCACGGGAACTCAGCTGCCAACGGCAGGCACACTGCCGGGTGAGGTTACTCCATTCGAGCGGTGCTCCATTCTACTGAATTCGATTCGATCTGACTACAGAGATCCAAACTAGAAGGAACAACTGTTGTCTGCTAAAAAGTTTTGTAGTAATCTCGTTTCATATTAGCAATACAGCAAGACATTGCTTAGCATTTACGCTCAATCTAAGGTGTATTACTTGTATGGCCTCTTTATTTTTAACACATTGGTATATGCTACAGTATGCTTTCTTTTCGATTGCAGACATAAATCGTCGCCGTAGAATCTTCACCTATATGGGTGAAGCAGTCTATTTACCATCACTCTCTAAAGAAAGCTTCAAATTTAAAAAGATTCAGCAAAACTAATCGTTCTTTCGCACTGTCTATAGAGCATCCTACTTCACGAGATGTACGATAAGATAGCCAGGGGCGGATAGCACAGTGGTACTGATGTCCGTCATCACGAACATGATGATAGTTCGACTCCGCACCGGCCCCACCAAGCCTCTCATCCCTTCGGAGTCGGGAAAATGGTGCGGGACCTGTCTGGGAAAAAACTACTCTCTGCAATCCAATTGGAAGCCCTCCAGCCCGGCTATCTCAGGACTCTAGGGAGAATTACTCGACCAGCATTCCACAACACTCAAGATGAAGTGGAAACCTTCAAGCAGCAACCGAAGCCACATGTAAAAGCTAGACGATTTTCGTGGATAATGGATGTGAGGAAACGAATCGAATGTGAAAAGGGCTGGGATCTTCACAGCAGACGTGAAGACGGACCTAATAAAATAAGAAATAAAAATAAAATAATTAGCTAGGCACAACTTTAGAGTGCTAGAGGTGCGCGCGCAACTAGGTATTCTTTGCGTTCTTCACTATAACCTCAGTATTTTAGTAATGTTCCTATTATTTTCACTAGCTAAACTACGAAATTCAGTATGTATTCCTTCTTTGATGAACTTACACGAGGTTGATATACAGTCTTTAGTTGGCTAACGTTTCGACTTCTTCGCCTTCATCAGAGCTGATGATCCTAGTCGATGGTCCACAGTTGTTCGTAGTTCGATGTTGCGTCTTCGTTTTCGTATCGAGCCGGACCTTCCTTAGTGGAGCACCTCTCGAACTGGAGATATGTACAGCTGTATAATAAATATCCATAGCTGAAACGTCCAACGGTATCCTTCTAGTGGCACCTGGGCATGTGCCAAGTTGCATCTCACGTAGTCGGCTCAGAATCCCTGATGCCCTCGTCCACACCTTCAGCACCACACTTGTTCACAAATTCACACTCACATGAAGAGTACAGAAATTCTGGCACTGTTATCGAGGCGAGACCAAGTGCTTCCGTACTGGCAATGTTCTATATGATAAAGTGAGAGAAAGAGAGAGAGAGAGAAAGAAAGAGAGGGAGAGAGTGGATACTTCTTGGACACTGTAACATAGATTACATGTTAACACTAAGAGGTTCGGACACCTTGCATCTTAGCAATAACTGTTCCAGAAGAGCATTCGACGATTTGGTTCCACGAGACAATCAGCCACCCATCAGAAAAGCCACGGATTCGTTGATGAGGACCATCACTAGGAATCCTGAACGAAAACTATAGTGTTTATTTATGTTCACTGTTATAGAAGAATCCACTAAAAAACCCTAAGATACGGGTGTGATTAATGAAGGCTTTACTCACACCCACCCAAATCGCTCCCTATCCTGTGGGAGGAGGTAATCGTAAAATTGTATGCCTAATCATGGATTATATAGTGCATTTGTGTAGTAATAGATCTACAATCTCTACAGCGTGTTTCTCGATTAACTATTGAGCGATTCAAGTCAACTAGAGAAGTTCACAGTGATTTCTCTTTTGCTGAGAACGACACGAGTTCGACACAAACGCATCGACAAGAAGACATGTACATGACTATACGGTTATGGATAAATACAAGCTTGTATATCGATAGAATTTATAAAATAGATAAATTTCTAAGACCAGCTAAACAGAGGAGAACGAAAACTTAACACTCTGGGTCATTTGCCTCAGAGAAAAGAGCCAACAGAATGAGTGAAGGACCACGATACCCAGTTCTCGTCTACAATAACGTTTATGACCTAGGTAAGCACAAAGTATGCTTTCAACTAAATGCTTACTATGTTAAATACAACCACAACAATGCTGAGACATGCTAAGCAGAACCTCAGTTGGGCTTCGACCTCGCGATTACGCTATCCGGGAGTATTCGGAAGCGCATGGGCATTCTGCTACTCGTCAGAGTGAGCGGGTTCAAATCCTAGTACGTGCAAAGTGTCGCAGAAAACCGGAAAAGGTGATCATGGGCACGAAGGTCAGTCGAGGTCCCAAGTTTTTGTCATATCTCATCATTTATCTGGTTGTAGTGCACATAATATCCCGTTATTAAAAAAGAGCAGCTTATAAGTGAAAAGCTAAACATTGTAAATTGCTATTATTCCACTTCTGAGAACGATCTATCGAGTAAAATTTAGAGAACGCACAAGTATTTCAGCGACTTGGTCGATTATTCATGCAACAAGACTGGAATGGAACCACAGAAAAGTCTCAGAAGGAACTGATGAGATAACAGAGGAGATGAAATATAACTATATGAAAGGGCGCGAACCAAGTAAAAGTACGATTTAAAGCAGAAAGCGCAGGAATCGCCATCAATACTCACGTCATTCACCTGGACTTCAGACAAGAATCCTTTTCCAGGAAAAGAGCTTAAATGCAGTATTTTTTATCACTGGTTACAAATGAATCATATTTCCTCCACATAAACATACAAGACGCAAAGAGACAATACGCAGGGCGCACTTTTACGTGCGCACCCCTTTCGGATTTGCTCCGCCTACTTTACTGCTCGTTTGAATTTCTGCTTCGTAGTTCCCGTACAATATTTCGGTTAAGGTCAATGTTATCCTCTCTGAGCAGCGCCGTTGCTATTTTCTTGCTTCTTTTTCTTTTTTTCGTTATTCCATTACACGATTTCTTTACAGAAAATGACTTTAGTTCACAACTTCTGATTTTGAGAAGTCTAATCATTCAAGTTCCTTATTTGTAAAGCCATTTTTCGGCATTGCATTCTGAATGTTAACTTTTTATTTACTTCCCACTACAATTTTTCACAGCAGGGTAGTTTGGAAATGCTACCATGGTGGTGAGATATTTGCAACACTCCGGACCGCAGGTGTCTGTGGTGGAGATCGAACCCGTTATTATCCTTTTCCTAGAGCTAACGCTTTCACCACCATACCATACTGGTCCTTCGTTTCGCCTTTCTGCACAGACACCGGACACCTGCGCTCCAGAGTTTTGCGAATATCTCAGAATCATTGTGGTTCTACTACACTCCCATTTTCTACGAAGAAATCCCACAGATTAATCTCTCGGTTTGAAGGGTGGTCATGTATTTTTGTTAGCATGTTCTCTTCGGAGAACTCTTGGTAGTTTTCAGAATTTCGTTGATATTTCAACAGAGCGGAAGACAACAGATTCTTCATCGTTTGCTACTGCTGTGCTTCTGTATTTCTAGAAGCTCGAACATTTTGCTCACTGGATTTTATTGCAAAAGTATTTATTCTAAAAGATGTTCGGCAAATCCACGTTCGGGTCGACAACCTCCACTTTCGGCAGTCCAGGAAGTAAGCCGTACTCTTCTTTCTCTTAGAAAATTGATCGTAAGTTCTGAACACATGTGCTTTGTGTCCAAATACTTTTAATATTTTTAAAACTCCAGTGTAAAAGTTTTATATGGTGTTGTAAAAACCGATGTTATGTTAGTACACAGCCTTGAATAGGAATAACCTGGACCTCAATACTCAACTTAAACTCAAACGCTCAACCATTAGGCCTTGTGAGGTTTAGTTGTGAGGGCCGTTTATGGCTAATAATTCACTTTCTAAATCGAGTGTTACAGGTTCATTGTTTGGGCAGAATAAGCCAACGACAAGCCTTTTCGGGCAAAATAGCACAACCAGTCAAGGATCACTATTTGGGCAGAAATCAACAACGAATCTGTTTGGCCAAAACACTGCAACTGCTGGCAGTTCAATATTTGGTACATTTTAAATTTTTGTTCCTAGTATATTGTAAGATATTAATGGGAACAAATAACCGCTAAAAGAATTGCTACATGGTTATGGTGAGGAAAGATGAGTTTAGAAAGAGGAAGAATAAAAGAATGGGAAAAATTTACAAAGAGAGAAGAATGCAGGCTTGAGGTATGGCCATCAGACACACTTGAGATGAAATCGAATCGAATGAGTTACGAATAAATTTATAAAGTTGTTTAATCTGGCATTTCGGTAGCAGAACTTTTGTCTGTGTCCGTTTTTGCTTATAGTAGGCTTTTGATCCATTATCATCCACTAAAAATACCGCCTTAACGAGGAATACATATACCTTCATACCTTTTTTTTTAAATTTTTGTTCAAGGATCCAATCAAACGCCATCGAGTACGGGAACCTCATTATTTGGACAGTCAAAGCCATCGTTGTTTGGTAGCTCGACTACCACTGGGACGACTTCACTGTTCGGGAATGCAAGTTCTACAGGAAGTGGATTATTTGGATGTACGTTACTTGCATTTCCTTTGAAACGAAATAGGGTTTACGTCTCGTAATTCACTTATGAAGTTATCTAATATGCGAAAATTCAGCGATGATTTCTTGGTGGCTACTTATTTATCCCTTTATTTAGCGACTGCGTCTAGTGTCAATGGCACGACAATCAAATTTGAGCCATTGGTGGCATCAGATACTATGATGAAGAATGGTTCTCAAACAACAATTCAAACGAAACATATGTGCATAACGGCAATGAAGGCGTATGAAAGCAAAAGCCTGGAGGTTAATTTTTTCCGTGCTTTTCCTTCTTTATATTCTACAATTCTTATCGTTTCTTCTAGGAATTGCGAATTGATGATTACATAGCGAATAGGAAAACACCATCCACAACTGGTGGCTTGTTTGGCAGTTCGTCTTCTAGTACTGCTGGCACGAGTATTTTCAGTAGTACACCTGCTAAGCCTTCATTGTTTGGATCGTCAGCGAGTTGGTCTCTAAAAAGTATCCTTATGAATTGGAATCCTTGGATGGTGGTTTCAATCTCTATTTAGGCTACATGTCTCAAAATTTAACCAGGTTGTCAGTCAAATTGAAGAGTGTTTTGATGTTACTACACTAGCCTAACATAAGTGAAAACATTTATGACTGAACTGGAGAGACATGCCATAGCTAATTCCTTTTTATTGAGTAAATATTGCTGGGGCTTGTTATCTCTAGAATTTAATATTACGCCATAAGTCTCTTGCCGTTTTTGTTTCCGTCTGATTAGTTTTATAACTTAGCAACTTTATCACCGTTTGGATCGACTACTCAAGGAACCTCTTTGTTTGGTCAGAACAACAATACTTCTCAGGTATTTTCAGATTGAATTGTTCAGTTTAGTAGAACAGGTGGACAAAGTTTTCGAATATTCTTTTTTAGGGTACGTCATTATTCGGTAGCAAACCAGCAGGTAGTATTTTTGGCTCTCCGGCAACATCTTCAACGTTCGGATCATCAGGCGGTGGCCTATTTGGCAGTAATACTGGAAGCTCGGTTGGAACAAGTTCAATTAATTATCTTCTAAGCATGCGTAAATTAATGGTGATGTTCAGACGTTCGGGTCAAACCAGACGCAACAAACGGGATCACTTTTTGGAGGATCTGCGTTTGGCTCAACCGCTACCACTACGAGCTCGTTTACGTTTGGTTCAGCAACCAACACAGTTGGTTTTTTTTAAAATTTATCTCTCCACTGGTTTGTTTCGTTGTTCTATAATACTATTAAGTGTAGACAAGCACACCATTTGGCCAGACGGCGACTTCTACCGGTGGGGGACTATTTGGGTCGAACACTAATACAAGCACAGGTGGTTTGTTCGGAAAACCTGCTGGAACAAGTCCATTTTCGTTCGGAAGCTCATCAAACACAACGTTTGGTATGTGCAATGCATATAATTCGTAGTTTGAGACTGATAAACCCTAGTGTTCGATATGACCACTACTTGTTTCTTTCTCATGTGAGAACATGAAAGTTTTTTTTTTATTTTGGGCTATATAGAGATTATAAGTTCTCATTGTGAAATTTGTTTTTTATCAAATGAGTGTTAGGATTATTAGTAATTTTCTGAATGGTTGAACTGACACGTGGTTGGTGTAGAAGACTTTTGTATGGCCGGCGTTTCCGCATTTTCGCCTACTTCAGAGCCTCATTGATCCGAGTCGTTGTTCCCAAGCTGGTTGATATGGATGTTCCTACTCACAACAAATCCAACCCACGAGAGGAGCACCGAATCGGATCAGTGCGGCTCCGAAGAAGGCAAACGCGCTGAGGCGTTAACCGGATAAAAGCTTTTTATTACGACCTTGTGTTAGTTCAGTCCTGTAGAAGATTTTTGATTGTTGTTGCTAAGATTTAGTGGAAATCGGTTTTAAGACATCAAGATGTTCTTCCAAGGAAGGAAGCATAGTTGGCGTAATTTTAGGACAAGCCTCTTCAGGTGGGGGTCTATTCGGTAATACTCAAAAACCAGGTGGTTTATTTGGAAGTACGAACACTACTGGAGGTAATTGCTATAATTTCCACTCATCTGGAATACTCTAATCTGGTGTAGTCAAATCTGCATAATATGGTTGTATTTGCAGGTTCTTTATTCGGCTCGCAGTCTACCCAACAGGGCACTGGATTGTTCGGTAGCACACAACCTACGCAGTCACTATTCGGATCCAATACGGCCAACCAACAAACGGCTACCACTACAACGGGTTTTTAAAATTGGATTAAATTGCTCGTATTAATTAGCAGGGCTATCTATTACTTATTGCTATGTTTTTTTTCTTTTTGATAAATCGAATTGTTTAAATTTCCGTTGAAATTCTCTGCTTTCTAGACGAGACCAGAAGTAAATGATTTCGCCGTTAACAGTGTTTTTTTGGCCATAAGGTTTTTCATTGTTAGGTTTTGGATCTGCTGTACCAACTACCATAAACGTTCCCGCAGCCACTCCAATAGTCCTTGGTTCGGATGTGAATCAAGCGCAGGTTAGCTGCTATTCTCTTCATTTTTGGTTGACGTTTGGTAAAAATTTCTTGTACAAGTCCTTTTTTCTTAGTATATACAAATCCATACATATGTATGTGTATACATATACACGTACACGTGTATGTCTGTGCACGTGTGCATATATGCATACATATACATACAGTTTACATTTTCTGTATGCAGTATTTATATATGTAGTACATACACCTATGCTACGTATACTTCGTGTGCATATTGTTTATGTATATATGTTATATATTGTACGTATTACTTACTTGATACGTGAACGGCCCGTACTCACTCACTAGTTGTGCGGGCCCCAGCACAATCACCTTTTTTCGGAGATTCGCCGGTTAAGCCATTGTGGTTTGTTGGAATCCCGAGGACAGCCTGGCAATAGTCTGCCACAGGTTCTCGTCACCACAGGCAGTAGCAGCCCTTGTGGGTCGGAAAGTGATTTGCCACCATGCGACTAGTTTGATACCAGGACGGTGGTGGATTCTGGTATTGGTCTACTCTTAGCTAGGCCTCCTGATGGAAACGCCGGACTCCTACTCAACTTGGGAGACCCTGCCGGGGGGACGAATCTCCCGCTGTACATCGCAGTCCGGCACCCAGGAACACCTAGCCACGATGGCGGTAAACCGTTGGGAGGATTGTACATATTACATGCATGTATATTAAAATATGCAATATATTTTGCACATATATACGCTTTTGTTGTATATATATATGTATATATATATATGTATGTATATACTTTTACAAAATGGTAATGGTGTTTTGCAGGTTCAAATGGCCCTTCTTGATGCCCAAATAGCCGCAAGTCCTTATGGTGATTGTTCTCTATTGAAGTTAGCTAGTGCCAAAGATTCAAATGATATGCCAAATCCGATAAGGTCCGAATGTTTTTTTATGTGGTTGCATATTTGTCGCGTGTTTCTTTATATTCTCATTGTCTACGGTATTTTACACATTTTCCAGTACGCAAAGACAGTTGAAGTTCCTGGCAGCTAAGAGTGCTACATCCTCACCCTTAAATACTTCGTTGGCGAATGGAGAAAGAGGATCGCCTTCTGTCCAAAGCTCTCAAATATCGATGAAAAGTTCATTTTTGCCAGTAATTCCCCCAAAGGTGAAGTAATAGCTTTTATGGTAATTACTGACATGGTTTTCTTGAAAATGGCTATTTTCAAACTGATTGTGTGGGAGAGGACTTGATATATTTAAAATTTCCAACTGGATAAGAAGCAGTTGGAGTTCTTAGGAAAAGGAACTATACTTCTGGTTCAGTAAAAAGCCGTTCTATATTTTCTATTTCATCACACCTATTATTATTTAACATCGAAATTCTAAATGTGTTATAGGATCTTCAACGGAAAGATCGTTAATGTAGTTTTTAATTTCATTCAGGTTGCTGATACTTGTAAAGCGTCACCACGAGCGAGGACTACCGTAATTCCTGGACGTGATGTTAACTATACTTCATCGGTCACTCCACCAACTTTGGGTAAAGGAATTCGTTCAAAAACAGTGAATGGAAGCAATTCATTTGCAAGCAGGAGTCTAAACGGAAGTCTCATTAACAAGTAGGCGCCCCATGTTGTTTTCATTCCGTCCTAAAAGAAAAGTGAAGGTGTTTATAAACCTTCTAATCAGCGTCGGAAGAGCGTTGAATGCTGGACATCAGACAGTGTGCACGTCGTGTTTAGGTTAACCATGCTTTTTGTCTGTGTAATACACTGGATTCGTCCCGAAATTTGCGCAAACGGATCCATAAAGCGATTTGTATCTTAGTGCGAATTCATGTAGTTTACTGCCATGCTAGTAAAAGTCATGTAGACATATGTGCTGTTGCACAGTAGTACGAATCGAGAAGGAAGATAATGAATAATATGCTGTTAATTACTGCAGTTTGTTTTGCTTGCCCATTCTCATGAGGTTTATGTGAAAGTCAATGCATATATATATATATATATATATACGTGGTTTACGTAATGCTCTAAGCTTGAATCTCTAAATAACTCATATTTACGAGGTACGAATAGCCCTACGAACTGGGGGAAATTTTTTCACCGATAATTCGTTGATTAAACATGATACTTTTTCCCTGGAATCTCGAAAACCATACTACGGCTTCCTCAGTTCGTCACTATGAATCGCTTAGTTAATCTGTTGTTGCTGAAATATGATTCCTACCATTAGCTTGATCATGATTAGGTTTCCAAATGGAAATGTCCAACTTATTCTCTTCTTTGAGACCCTTATGGATGTGAACATTGTATTTCGTAACGAGAGACCCAGGGATGCACTCTAACGACAATAAGACAATAAACTATTCTGGGATGTGTTTTTATTCGTAAAAAGAAACCTTTAGGAACTGTTTTTATTTTTTCGTTTTTTCGTCTTTATTCTTCCTGTTTTGTAGGACGGTCGACGCAGTAATTGAGACATCGCTGACAGGGAATATGAACAAACCACCTAATTCTGGTCGTCGAGAGAATCTAAAGCATTTGGATTTGTCAGCTGTTATGCAGGCAGTTACTCATAATGGGAATTCCGAGACCGAGGAGAAGTCACATTGTAGTGATCCCGATGAACTTCCTTCGCACGATATCAATACTCGAGAGAGGGACAAAAATTACAGGTACTGATATGTAAACGTTTTTCAAATCGTTTTTGTTTTTATTTACTAATTGCCTCCATTAATTGTAGAGTGTGAAAACAGCAGGAATGTTTATGTAGTAATCCAGCTGCAAGCGTATACAGCACATGTTTTGAAATGTTGTGGAAATCGTCTTCATTGATATGATGGTTTCATAGATTTCCTGTCACTGACAAATTTCTAAAAGTTTAAATCGTTTCAATCAGTTTCATTTTTCCAGACCATTCCATTAAAAATGTACATTATTATACTAAAGAGATGCGTCCATTTCCTTGTTTTAGTCCCGAGATTAACCAAAGAACTGTGAGTCTGCATCGCGGTGATGTCCGTAACGGCGGAGTTCCACGCCTTCAGCTCGACGGAAGTGCTTGCGAAGAATCGGCTGTTTCTTCTAGCAAGTCTTCTGGAGTAAATGGCGCAGGAGTGGGATCATCGAGTATATCTACTAACATGGCTACTCTTCCTCAAGTGGTATTGTCGCCATCATCACAACCGATAGTGCGTCTGAATTCGCCCGACTACTTCACAGATCCGTCCATAAATGCGATGCATGAGATGGTCAGTGGAGTACGTGATTTTCGTCAAATGTTCTTCAGTTTTAACAAAATTTAGGTGGTTGACGGAAAAGTGGTTCTGAATAATGGACTGACTGTTGGTCGTGCGACGTACGGTACTGTGTTTTGGCCAGGTCGCATAGAACTGGAAAATGTAGTTTTGGATGAGGTTTGTCTTTCTTATGGGTTTAAGCTAATGAATGGTGCAAGAAGCCGTAGGTGTTATTGCTGGATGTTTTCGTTTCTATTATCTAGCACGTTGACGACAAAGCGTATCTTTGAAATTTTATCCTTCGGAACTGCCAAATAAATACATTAGTAACTATAATCCTGTTAATACGTTTGCTAGTAGCTAAACATTGGATAAAATCGAACCCTTTCTCAGTCTTAGTGATCATGTCGCTGCAATAAAATCTCACATTGATGTTCAACAACCCTAAACACCCCAATAACGATCAAGAACTATTTGATGTTAGCGTTTTACTTTCTGCCTGCTGCAATTTTTCTTGGCAGGGTATTATGTGAAATACAACCATAATGATGCTGAGGTATTTCCAAAACTCCATACTCTCGGTGGTAGGTAAAGAGAGAGAAAAAAAGTGGTAGGTAAAGGGAGAGAAAAAAGAAAACTAGCCGATAAACAGACGAAACGAAAGACCTGCGTTGTGCGGTGGTGAAAGCGTTAGCCCTCCTGGCAGGGTAGTAGGGTATGCAATCTCCTCCGTAGGCACCTGCGGTTCGGACTTTTGCAAACATGTCGGCATCATTATTGTTATATTTGAAAATATTTGAAGGCATAAACTGCACCAGAAACTTTGTATAAAAAATGCAAAAGCGTGGCCATTCGCTTAACATTATGCCCTGCCTTCAACTTTGTTAATCATCATAGAGCTAGTTGAATGTATACGAGTTTCAGTGGCTTATCGATGTATCAGATCAGTGTTTTTGTCGTCCAAGGCAAGCCCTGTACCAATTTGCAAATCCTAGAAAGATAGAGGGTTATTCTTCGTATTCGTGTTGAGCAAACGCGAGGTGTTATTTTTATTCTTTATTCACGAATAAGCTGACGTTTCGGCGGATTTCGATTTCTAGGGGGTTATGTCTATCCAAGTTACAGCATCTTAACTAAAGTGCATGTTGCATAGTACTTTTAAACTCTACACTACACGCAACTTCAAAAACACTTTAAGTCATGTATTTCACAGTCACACAAGTCATTGTTGCCAATGAATAAGTCTCGCGTCAACATGAGCTGCTCTTAACTGATGCGCGAAAGTGGTGAGCTTGAACGATACGCATTAATTTTTTCAGTGCATTTTATTTGTAGTTGTCTATTTTGCCGCATTTATTTTTGCAATCAATTGATAGCTTTGTTAATGCATATGCTGTACTGGGTATTGTTCGTGGAAAGATGGTTTTTTGTTTGCTTCTTTTTTATCTATACAACATATCTCCATGTATCAGTGCGAATCTCAGCGCTGCTTCAATTCTCTTTGTTTATTTATCATTTGCGAAGGTCTTCGAAAATGCGTGCGGGCTCGTGCTACTTGACCATCTTATGCTTTATCGATGCCATTGAATGCCGGTTAAGGAGATTTTCCCTTGAATCATGATGTACCATTTTCTTAGGGCGTTCCTAGGTGTTTACGGCGCATAATTGCGAGCTATTGTTGATCACAGGAAGTCTTTCCTAAACAAGCCAGTTCGGTGGTGGGGTTTAATTGTCGCAGGTCGGGTCGAATTAATGGCCATTGAAGAGAACCTAACCACTACATTACACGCTACAATTTGTAAAAAGAAAACTGTTTTAAAGTGCAGTTTGTTTTGCCATGGCAAAGAATGTTTACGCAAACAGGCTAGTAAGAGGTCTACTGCTATACTCTTAGTGGTGAGGAATGTGCTAGGGCGTTTTGACGGAAGCACAGAGTGCGCGCTCATCAGTGTGCTTCCACACAGTCTATCTTTGTCCACATTACAGGCACTCAACTCTATCATGCTCAAATATGTGTTTTAGAGCTTAGAGATTTTGCATTTAGCTTCGGTTACTGTTTACAACTCGCAATATAAAACCTTTATAGTTTAAATTTCTGCTTTTGGTGGCTGTTGTCGAGACGTTATAGACGGAAGTATTTGCTGCATTCACTACATCTAGTGCTATTTCATTTAGCACGCATGCTTATTCCATGTTTTAGACAAGTAGATTTCAGTCAACTGATTTTAAAATCTCTTGTCTCCATAATTTTAGGCTAAAATGGTGGCATTAGTAAGAACTACTGAACTATCTCAACAGTGACAATGTCACACTTTAAACCGTAAGACATGTGCTAATACTTCTTTCTTTTTGAGAGTAATCGATTAACACGAGTCATAGTCGAGAGTAGTCGATTACCACGAGTCATAGTCTGTTCCGTGCCTTCTGTTACGGTAGCTACGCCAACATATATGACTCGTATATAGATCTGCAGAGGTACACTGATATCAGCTTTGAACGGTTGCAGTAAAAATTGGGCATCAGTTAAGTGCAACAGCGACACAGAATTAGAACGATGTTGAAGATGTTAATTTGTCTCCCATATATTTGCTTTAAGCATGCTGCGTCAATTCAAAACAGTGGCATTGCAATATTACCGTCATTTCAGATAGTGGTGTTTCGGCACAAAGAGGTAACAGTGTATCCAGATGAGTCAAAGAAACCTCCAGTTGGTGAAGGGCTCAACAGGCCGGCTGAAATTACGCTTGAAAGAGTTTGGCATGTTGATCGAGTTACCAAGGAGGAAATAAGGGTTGGTCCATTTGTGCCTTCTCAGGAGAGTATCATGCTGACTTGCACGTATAGGATACGCTTAAACTCATTGATCTTGGCTGGCGTGATCGGCTTGAAAAAGTTACTGCACGGATGGGTGCAGTTTTCAAGGATTATCGACCATCGACCGGAAGTTGGGTATTCCGTGTAGAGCACTTTAGCAAATATGGTTTACCGGTGAGCCTGCTTTTTTCTATTAGAGGAAACCGTTTTAGATGCTTCGATATACTTTTTACAGTGTAAATGCATGATAACAGGAGTGAAATCTATCATTCTAGGACGATGAAGATGATGCGGATGTGGCGATCGTACCAAATGCAAAAGATAATCAAACGCTACCCGCGCAGACTTCTACCTGTGATATCGATACATCCATAGAGGAACAAACTATACAATCTCACGTCCAGCGTACTAAAATAGTGCAAGTTGCTGCGCAGATTGGCACGAGCACTGGAGTTCATACTAAGGTAAATTACCCATAATCCACGCCAAACTGGTTTGAAAAGAGTAGCAATGCCAAAGCATATTAGATATTGTTATTTACTTTCAACGTGTGACCATATCGGACTGCTTTTTGTATAATTCTAGAGGAGTTGCATCATTGGTGTGAAGTATTGTCGCACGTGAATAAACAGCTTCAGTTGTTTAAGTGTTACATTAGTTGTACCTTCTTTAGTGGGTTTGATTTTATCTTTGGTAACGGCGTTTTTGGGGCAAATGGTTGTGCTTTCGTTTCTGCACTCACCAGAAATCAACGAGTTTTGCTACCACAAGATTTACCAGCATATTTTGTATTGATTCAAATCAAAAGGGAAGATAGATTCTTCTAGTTTTTTTTATAATATGTTATGCCTATAAATTCTTGTTTTTTTCAATTGGTTGAGGGGTTATTCAGGATTTTTGAGTGGAATATTGCTGAAAATTAAGTTCTAGGTTGTACCAACTTTTGAAGTCTAACGTGAGTTGATTTCCACCTATATATGAGCGAAAATATTTGCCTGTAATAACCTTAACCAAACCTGTTTACACTAATGGTGAACATTGTTGTTTGAAACAAGAACCTTTTGCATTTTTAGTTATTTGTCGAGAAATTACATTTTTTGTTCTACAACGTTAATCTTCCAATTTCCTGAAGTCTAAGGCGCGTGTTTTTCTGCGTTTCATTGTGGCCAGCAAAGTGTTTGAGAAAGGAGAGATCTTATGTAATAGAATGCGACGGTATCCCCATATGTATCTGTTGATATTTGCGGTTTATGCTTTTGCTCTAAGTATTTTAAATACCCGAATATCGATTTTTTTGGGTCACGGTTTGCTTTTCACTCACTGCTTGTTATTTTTTGATGGCAGGGTATTATGTAAGATACAACCACATGGATGTTGTGATATGAGCAGAAACCTCGGAACGTCGGGTGGGCTTCGAACCCGCAATTATTGTTTCTGCAGATCTTTGCACGGATACGGATTTTAACTCACACCCTAATACCCTAAAGAGTACCAATGCCAGTACTCAACCGTTTCTCCTTGACAGATTAAACCTTAAATATGGGGTCTTAGCGTTTCTCACTGCAGGCAGAATTTTCCATCCATTTCCCGTTATTTAATATCAATTGTCTTTTGTGAATAATTAAAAAGGATTTTACGCACATCTTTGCACATTGTAGGATTTCAATGCATGCACCCTTACGGGTACTGAGATACTCAGCCGCTTCTACTCGGCGAGTTAAACTTTGAGTTTGGCGTATTAGCATTTATAACCACAATCAAGATTTCCTATTCATTCCCATCTCCCGATATTGCGGGTTCGAAACCCTGGTCATGGTTCGAGTTTTGCGCTTGTTTCACCAGCGTTGTGATCATATTTTTTCTCTTCTGGTTTCTGAATTTTAAACAACTTTGAAATGGAAGAATATTTTTAAAAAGTTGTAAATAGGTCTTTGAGTGACAGGCAGAGTTTTTCTTTTATATATAAACGGATGTATGATATAGCGAAAGAAACATCCGATTTGAAAAAACCGTGAACAGAAGGGTATGGAAGTTAGTTCTCATATTAGTGATGACAAGAGCCATATATGTTGGATGTTGGACTCATGGATGTTTGAAAATAATTGCACCATTTTAACGTTTAACAAGAATACGTTAGTGAATAGTCAATTTCGTTAGTTTATGCATGGAAACCACCAAATGTAAGAGGCATTGCTAAGAAAATACTAATCTTCTTCCACTACAACAATATTCTGATTTATTAGATACATAAAACTTCTTTTGGACAGTTTTTGGTCAAAGTTCGTATCGCTCGTAAAGAGGAACAATTAACAAGCTAGATTTCAAATAGCAAGTCACTATGTTTCCCGCAATGTTTTGCTAGTGATTTAACCCGGGGTTAATTTAAAACTTTGTGTTCCACTTTTTGAGAATTTTAACCCTAGACAATTTTCAAGTGGAGGTAATATTTTAGAAAAATTCTCTGTGCCATTACGATAGTAAGCCTGGGCCACTTAAGTACTCAGTTCTCAACCTCTCACTTAGAGTAGATAGAGATAGATACCAGTAGCTAGTTGAAAATTTGCATTAATACCAATGATTCCATGTTGCATTTGCTAAAGTTAATATGTAGACCGGTGGATCGATTAAACAGAGTGTGAAAGTGTTAAAATACTTCGGAAAGGTGCTAATTAAGGTGGCAGAAAACGATGATGCTGAGATGACAGAAGGCTGTAACTTGGCGATGAAGGTGAGTTCTAGGACAGGTTTTTTGTTAGTGGTAAGGCTGAAGTTGGTAGGCTTAAAGCATTTAATAACTACGATTTTCTCTGTGTAGTATAATCATACGCTCGTCACTTACACCATTGTGTTCAAAGCTATCTCTGTTTTGTCATTCATTCGTAAAGTGGTATAGAATTTTGTTTTCTATTTTATTGTAAAGTTGCGAATCCTTTTTACAGAATTCTCCCATGTCTTTCCGATCGTTGTCTTCATTTTTTAAATGAGTACGTTTTTCCAGGTAGGTCTCGGAGGCAAATTGGATTTGGACTATGATGATAACTCAGTATTTGGTGATTACGAAATTGCAACTTGGGAACATAACGGGGTAAAATGTTATTTCGGAGATTTTCACACATTGATAAGAAGCAAGTAGAAATTTTTCCTCGTGAAATTGTGAAGATTTAAAGGTACCGTATAAAAAGATGAAGAAGGAAGAGGCGTTGGATTACGTAAATGAGGAAAGCAAGTGAGTTCCTCAAAGCTTGCCTTGTTTTTTCGAGAAGCAACCGTTTCTTACCAGGCGACTGTTGGAACTTTCAACTTTGTCCACACAACATGTTCGACGTGTAACTCTGAAATATCATGAACCCGTTTACGTATTTCAAGGAGGAGTTGAGGTACATATGAACATTATGGGAGTGTTTCGAAACATCCTTGTTTAAAACTTTTATGTTCCTTACCTACTTGGATACTTGCATGGTCCGTCCTCAATAGTTGTGTGGATCACAGCACAGTCTCTGTTTCTCGGAGTTTTGCTGATTTAGTCATTGTGTTTCCCTAGACTCCGGAGGTCAACCTAGCCAAAGTCTGCCCTAGGTCATCACCACCTCGGGCAGTCGCATTCCTTGTGGATCAGGAGATTTGCCACCTTGCAACTGTTTGATACCTGGACGGTAGTCGATCCCGGTATTGGTTTACTCTTAGCTAGGCTTTCTGTTGGAAGAGCCAGACTCCTCAACTTGGGAGACCCTGCCGAGAGATAAATCCCATCCGCTGTACATCGCAGCCCGACACTCAAGCACACCTTCCAGCCACAATGAGGCGATAAAGCATTGGGAAGTTTTTATGTTCATAGATAACACAATTGAATAACAGGAGTAAGATTGGTTTTCATTCAAATTTTGGCAATAATTTAGGCAAGCAAGAGCATAGGTTATAAGAAGAGTACAGTAATGAACTTAGCATGCGCACGTAGCACATCCAGTCGTGTCAGTTGGAGTCAAGGTAACTGTTAAAGATTTTCTTCATTTTCTTAAGGTAAGCTATGTGAACAGTTCTGATTGACAGCTGATTTCAAATAAAGCATGAGAAAATAACCGAAGAGTGATCAAGTGCGGCAAGTCTCATTTCTTCGTATTTTTGTTGAGCAAACGCGAAGTGTTACTATTCTTTGTTCACGATTAAGCTGACGTTTCGGCGGATATAGTATAGTATAGTATAGTATAGTATAGTATAGTATAGTATAGTATAGTATAGTATAGTATAGTATAGTATAGTGTGATACTATAGGAAGGAAGGCCCTGAGGAAGGCGAAATCCGCCGAAACGTCAGCTTAATCGTGAACAAAGAATAATAACACCTCGCGTTTGCTCAACAAAAATACGAAGAAAATCACTTGATCAATGCCGAGGTTAATAGAAAGTCGGTCGTGGCAGTCTCATTTCTGTTTTTATAGGTGGGCAGTTTGCGTTCAGCTTGCAACCGTCTTCAAATGAAGTGCAGGTTTGTGCACTGCAGTTTGATAGCGGTGTGCCTGAGGTGAGTGGATTGCGAGTTTGGTGTTCCTTTCCGAATATTTGTTTTATGGTTAACCTATCCAAACGCTTAATTTTTTAAGCAACTGATTATCGACATGCTCGAGCATAATGTTCGTTTATCGCGTGCCATCCGTCGGAACACGTCTGCGAGCTCTCGCGTTAGACATTGCGAGATCGAAGGTGAAACGTCGGCTCCACGCATTAAGCCGGCAGAGGACGCAGCACCACAACTCCTGGATTCTTTTTTAGCTACCTCAAGACAAAGTATGTGATGCTATTAGACATACGTAGCAATTCTGTGTTTGGATGCAGGTACACTGTCATCTGCGGGTCATTCGGAGACCGAATCTGTATTTATGAGAACTTATCCTTAGGATAATTAAATGATTTCGTTACTATGCGAGTTCATTTGTAAATCACTTGTCCTTTTAATCTTGTTTTTAGGCGAATGTACTGAAGAACAGAGAGTATGGCGTCTGTGTCAAGCCTTGTTTCCTTCAGATAAATCTGGTAGCTGAAACTTGGGATTTTCGAAGATTTCATTAGTGCGAATTCTTATGTTTTTCATTTTCTAGGAAACTGGCTATGGCAACGTACTCAAGATGTGAGACAATGGCTTTCCGAAGAAGTTTCCTTGCTTCCAAGGAAGAAGTTTCAAGGAGGGATTGGTGGGCAGCTTTGATGTTTAGATGTCAAAGTAGCATAGAATTGTTGTCAATTAGTATAACTCTATAACTTGGTATCGTTAGTATAACTGTGAAATATTTGTCGCCATAGTTTTCTCTTCGTTCAGCGGCTCACGTTTGGTCTCTGTTATGCGCCGGAGATGCTGGTGGTGCGGCTGGAGTAGCTTTGGATGGTGGCATGCCAACGCTTTCCCTCATGATTTCAACAGCATTATCATTAGAACAAATAGGACAACAAGGATGTTCTGCAATGGTAAATTATATAAGATTACTTGAACATATATGAACATATATAGTTTTGAAGGGCGCATGTGACCCAGTGGCCTGGGGCGCGCTGCAACACACACACACAGACACACACACACATACGCGCATACATACACACATACGCGCATACATACACACATACGCGCATACATACACATACACATGCATTTATATAGTTATGAAAACTGTACATTTGTTGCAGCAATATGTAAAGGTGCATTATGGATGTTGTTTGGACGGTTAACTAAGTAGAAATACCGTTAAATTCTGTTGTATCATGATTACGTTTGGATGCTTGTAACGGCTATTGTTTAGATAGAAATGTGGAAATCGGATGACGAACTTGGTGAAATGCCAAAAGATCTCATCAAAATCTTTCTTGTGCTCGCAGGAAAAACACATGAGAAGTTCATTCACAAAGGGAAAACGGTTGAGTTGAATTGCCTTGAAGGCTTGGATTGGCGACAGGTAGACAGCGGACTCAAGAATTCTATTTTGTCGATAAATCGTTGTAATGTCTGTATTTATTACATTTAAGGCGTTTGGCATCCATCTGTGGTTTATCAATTGGGCTGGTTTTCTTGAAGACGCTGTTGAATCATTCAGTGATGACGTTAATTCTGGAAGAGCATCGTCGCCCGAGTCTCACATATTTGAGCAGGTACTTGTTTTTTCGAAAATAAGTGTTTCTTCGTTTCTGGAAAGGCTGACTTGCAGCTTATTCGTCTTGCCTGTTCGCCAGGTCATCACGTTGAAGCCGTTCTCGATGCTGCAATGATGCTTAGCCCAAATCCTCTTGATGCTCATTTAGGGTTAGTTATAGTGGTATTGACCGTTGACCGCAGAGAACGCAAAACGACTTTACGTCTAGAAATAAAATTTATTTTGTCAACCTTTGTTTCTCTTACAGTTCTTTTTTCCAATGCATCCATGTATGCTTTTGTATTTTTTTAAAGCTGGCATTTGTGGTCTTTGCTACGAGCTCTTGGCTACAACACACTGTCGCCTGAAGCTGAGCAACGCCTGCACACCGATTATTCATCGTTACTAGCAGCTTGTGGGCAATGGCCGTTAGCAGTTTTTGTGTTAAGTCATATTAGTCACGATCACTGGTGAGTTTCTTACACTTTTTCTTTTGTACTGTTAATTGTCTAGTGGTAATTCGACCGTAAAGGTTCACTTATCTTAGCTGTTGTTGCCAATTGTGAAATTTCAGCCGATCTCTAGCAATTCGTCAAGTGCTAGAATGTATGTCGTCGACTGCTCGTTCACAAGACTATGATCGCATTCTTGCTATATGTGACATACCAGTTGAGTGGATCGCAGCAGCGAAGCTTACTAAAGCAAAGGTAGATGTAAATCAAAAAATGGACAAAATTATGAGTCGAACTTGACTAGGAATGTTATTTGAGTAAAGATTAAGTGGTTGAAACTTTAAAGTGGTGATTGCTTCATGGATGCTTGAAGAATTGTCTCTAATCTCGTGGGCATAGTATTCTCGTATGTGTTGTTGTTTAAGTTGGAACACAGCATTTCTATCCAGTTTCATTTTACAGTCTGATGGTAACCTTGAGCTTGCTTGCGAACATGCCTTAACCGCCAAAGAATATGCAACTGCTTTGCGGCTTTTCACCGAGGAGGTCGCACCGAACGCGATTGCAATGGGTGATTTGGAGAAATTACGTCCACTAGTTGAACGAATGGAAAAGGAAGCGGATAAAATATCAGTAAGTTTTTTTTACTTGTTTCCTCGAATTTTCTGAGAAATGTGACCACTTTCTTTTACAGCTTCAGCTTTGAGGCTTATAGTTTGTGTCAAATGCTAGTTTACATTTCAAAACCCGCATTGCTCTAGTATCGTTGGCTAGTTGGAAAAGTACACTGGACTGAATATTTCTATATGTATTGTTTCCGCGGTTTGGAGTTTAAAATATTACTTTTAGGGTTGGGGAGCCCTTGGACAAATATATGCGGATTACTGCATGTTGAAAACAATGGATGATGAGGACACTGAAGAAAACGTTTGTGACTGCATAATCACTGGCTTTCTTTTGTTGTAAACACTACGATGTTCCACATCTTGTCCTAGAAACGTATTACCATTTCAGGAGGAACAAATGAACGCTCTTGTGGATTCAATACGCATTCGAATTAATGCGCCAGTGTTTGACAAGCCGATTCAGCGGTATTTATTTCAACCTATGTGTCTAAATCCTAAAAAAACCTAAATCATTATATTATATCATACTACATTTTTTTGAGTTACCGCTAAGGGAGGTCCAGTTGAAATTGAGCAGTCGGTTACCCCTACAACCCTCTCCGACTTTATATTAACCTCGGAATTGATCAAATATTCTTGTTGAGCAAAGATGAGCAGTTATTTCATAATTTATTCACTAACAAGCTGGCAAGGGCGCGTGTGGGAGCAGTGGTCGGTTAGACAGTCTATTACTCCTCTCTTCCCTTTTCGCGCACTCCCGTATGCGATTGCACATGTACATTACTGAATTTCAAGTGATTGTTAACCTCAATACATTCCGATTTTTCCATCTCTTGGGTGCAGTAGTATAAGTGCACATTTGTCCGTCATCTGCGTGGCCAACTAAATTCGTTGTTTTACCACTGACTACTAAATATTACTAATAACCTAGATTATGCATGAAAACGATAGCTCGAGAATTGTTCGAAATCCAGCGATTGGCAGGAAAGACGGATTTCAATCTACCTCTAAGCCGCAGTCAGATAACGAAACTGATCAGCTAATGTAGTTTCCACATGTCACCGCTCCTATTACTTGTTCCCTGCTTTCAGTTGTAACTACAGTCAACTTGTTGCGATCTACTTGCCTGTCCATAACTGTTGCCTGTGCTTGTATATTGTTTGTCGGTTTGGTTAAGAAGCGTCACAAATGTTGTCGTTACTATGAACTGGTACATTGTTGTAACAAGCGTTCCAATTGCAGCCATAACGTGTTACATATCACAATTCCCACTTAACCCAGTACTTACCTCTCCAAGATAGGACATTACACCATCTGTATCCCCAGTTCTCTGACATGATGATGTTCTGTAACCACAAACTGTATGGTATTTATTCGTTCTAACAGAACAAGACACCCTCTAGGTAGTAATGATGAATAAAAGTTGACTTTTACTTCGTTAGAGCCTCATACTTCACGAATCTACAGAAATGACATGCACCATATTGGAAGGACCAGTCCCATATCACCCTATCTCCAAAAACAGCATTTTATGGGGATACAAACTCAATTTGGTGTAAAATCCTTTCTTCACACTTAGCACATCTAGAACTCATTAGAACGTCTAAACGCCTAAAAAACCTCGAACAAATCAATAATGCTTCACATTTTTATCACACACAAGAGTGTATGAACACAATACACAAGTCCGATCAACTGGCACCTCCGCGAAGACGAAGCACGAGGTGAAGGGTTGACTCCTTCTGGATGTTGTAGTCCGATAACGTACGCCCATCTTCAAGTTGTTTACCTAAAACATGTAAGTCTAGGTCCAAGAAATGCAAACGGCGAAGAAGTACTTCCACAGTCTCGCACTTACCCGCGAAAATCAAACGCTGCTGATCTGGTGGGATTCCCTCTTTATCCTGGATTTTTGTCTTCACATTCTCAATGGTGTCCGAAGCCTCAACTTCTAATGTTATGGTCTTTCCCGTAAGCGTTTTTACAAATATCTGCATCCCTCCTCGAAGACGAAGGACCAGATGAAGAGTCGACTCTTTCTGGATGTTATAGTCCGAAAGGGTACGACCGTCTTCAAGTTGCTTGCCTAGAAATTTAAATATGGAGTTATAAATTTGCGTGTAGCTATACTATTCAGGAAAAGGATTGCAGATTTTAACTATTTCGACAAATATAGATAAATTAGATACGTTTCAATTCCAAATAAGCAACATAATATCACAACAAACTTTAGCCCTGCTAAAAGTTAGTTATAAACTCAGCGTTATAGAACTCGAAACATTCTACGAACAAGAGTTCTGCAGATGCGCTTACGCTAAAACCTCTATGGTTTACGTAGGAGCACCAGTGCGCACCTTTGTAATTCGGTGCGTGCTTCCCCTAGTTGACTACAGTTCCCTCCACTTTTTCCTCACCTTCAAGGATGCGTTACGCTTTCGCTAGTAATTTGTTATAAGCAGTGAACTATCAACTTATATTCCTATAAACACGCGTTCTCTAATGAGCTTTCTCATCCTCTCCCACCTTTTGAATCCTTTGGAACGAAACCTTTCTGAATGTCAAAAAAATGTATGATTCAAACATTCATCTCCTAAGCCTGCTGTGAAACATAGTCGTCGACATACAAAGTTCGTCCAATCAATTTTCTACACTCAAGTGATTCATCCCTAATTCAGAACTATTGGTACCATCCCTTTACGGCTTACTTACTAGTTACTTTATCTGCAAGAAAACCCACTTGCACTGCAATGCAACACGTAGCCTCAACTCGAGAAACGAAAACATATACAACACCGACTCCTTCAATGTCTAAAGATCTGCTATACAATAAAAAATTAGGGAGACTCCAGATACCTAGAACAGCTAGCCAAGATAACCCAAAGATATTCCACATGTGTTATAAACGTACAAACACCGAATATCAGTGCGGCGACTCCTCCACGTTCGGTGATTTAAAAAACGGTTGGAAACCACCAGTAGTTAATGGCCAACATCACTATTCCAATAAAAATGTCTTATAAAAACCAGAACCTTAGACCCATGCGAACATCTAGCTTTCCCGCAAACATTAAATCGCTACTCCACCGCTATTCTTACCTGCGAAAATAAGCCTCTGCTGATCAGGTGGGATCCCCTCCTTGTCCTGAATCTTCGCCTTGACATTCTCAATTGTATCCGAGGCTTCCACTTCGAGAGTAATGGTCTTTCCAGTTAGAGTTTTCACAAAGATTTGCATTCCTCCACGAAGACGTAGCACAAGGTGAAGTGTCGACTCCTTCTGAATGTTGTAGTCCGAAAGTGTGCGACCGTCTTCAAGTTGTTTTCCTGAAGAGAAACAACGGTAGCTGAGGGTTTTGACCACTTAAACAAACCAATTATGGTCGTGAAACAGGTTACCTGCGAAAATCAGCCTCTGCTGATCCGGTGGGATCCCTTCTTTATCCTGAATCTTCGCCTTGACATTCTCAATTGTATCCGAGGCTTCCACTTCGAGAGTAATGGTCTTTCCAGTTAGAGTTTTCACAAAGATTTGCATTCCTCCACGAAGACGTAGCACAAGGTGAAGTGTCGACTCCTTCTGAATGTTGTAGTCCGAAAGTGTGCGACCGTCTTCAAGTTGTTTCCCTGAAGAAAAATAACAGAAGTGCCAGACCTGGGCCTACTTAAACAAGCAAACTATGGTCGTATAACCGCTTACCTGCGAAAATCAGTCTCTGCTGATCAGGTGGGATTCCCTCCTTATCCTGGATCTTCGCCTTCACATTTTCAATAGTATCGGACGCTTCCACCTCGAGTGTGATCGTTTTGCCAGTAAGCGTTTTCACAAAGATTTGCATGCTAAAACCAAGCCTTGGAACATGAACTTCATTGGCAATGATCAAACGAGTGCTTCAGATTGTCCTTCGTATTTCAGAGAAAAGTGATACACAGAGATAAGATAGCGATCGATCTCTTAACACGAAACAGATTTCATGAGATTCCTAGGTTAGCGTTAACTTAAACCAGCAAAAGTTCCCAATGAGCTCGGTTTGCTTAGAGTACAATATTTCTTTGTTTTAAAAGACTATGAGATGTATGCATATGAATTATGGCCTGGTACAGAGGAATAAACATGAAAACGAAATGAACACACTCTGGAAGAGAATGACTTTCTGGATGTGCACCACCAACCGACCAGCTCTCAGTGAGGCTACCGACGGAATGACACCACCAGCACCACCGCGAGGATCGGCAGATCGATAACACGCACGCCCACCGTGCGCATCGCGGAGGCCGTCGTTCGCAGTCGCCCGATTGGGCCGGCCAGGAAGAGACTGGCAGGACTTGTCAGGAGCACGCCGGTGACCTTAGCATACCCTATTAGGAGGTGTTCGGATGTGTTTCCATTCAAGGACTGTACAAATTTGCTGAGACGACAGTAATTTTCTACTGCCATGAGTGTTTTGCTGGGCTTCATCCACGATGAGATCAATATTTCATGCTTTGTGGATGGATGTCATAAGGTTATTTGTTCTCTATGGCATTTATTTTATCAAACACCAGCACTGCAGAAAAATTTTGCCAAATTTGTCCTTTCACATGTATCACCTGTGGTCTCGTTGGTCGTCGAGTGACTCGAGCGGGCGCCAGTAAATTTTCCATTCATCTCTGTCGCATGCAAGAGTAGCCCAGTGGGTTCTCCTCGCCACAGGGACTCGTCGAGCATCACAACTTTCTTCAAGGCTCTTTGCGAAGAACTCTCACCATCGGGTCGGTGGTGGAGCTACGTCGTTCATCATATTGATTTCCCGACTTAGATAGATATAACTGTGCATTCGAAGATATTCGTTCCGTTGAGCGTTAATGGGGCATGCGAAACCAATCCGTTCTTCATGAACATCGTTTTTGTGAGTTTTTGTCGAAGACCAATCTTTCCACAGGCTTTATCAAAGTCGTCAAGCATACGTTCCGCTTTGCTAATGTTTGGTGTTATAAGGAAGATGTCATTAGGAAAACGAAGATGGTGTAACTGCCAGCCGTCGATTTTCACTCCCATATTATCCCATTCCAATGTTCGCATGACGTTCTGGAGGGTAGCGGTAAATATTTCTGGCGAGATGGTATCGCCTTGCCTAACCCCTCTTCTGAAGTCGATGTTAATATCGTTGGAGAATGGCGATATCTTGGTTGTGAAATTTTTGAACAGCTCACGAAGAATCTTTATGTTCTGAGTGGGGACTCCTTGACTATCAAGAGCTTCCAAGATTGCTTCTATCTCAACTGAATCAAAGGCCTTCTGTAAATCGATGAAAGTGAGACAGAGCGGTCTTTTGTACTCTCGCGATACTTCAGTGAGCCGTGTTATCGAGTGGATGTGGTCCATCGTACTGAGTCCTTTTCGAAGCCCTGCTTGCTCACATGGCTGTCCTTCGTCTAGTGTTCTGTCAATCCTGTTTAGGATGACTCGATTGAAAAGTTTGTAGACGACAGACAGTAAGCAGATTGGGCGATAGTTGCCGATATCGTGCAGGTCACCCTTCTTGAACAGTAACACGGTCTTGCTGGTCTTCCTCTGAGTAGGGACCTTGCATTCAGATAGGTAACGTGTGAAGAGCCGAGCCAGTGTGTTTACGAGGAGTGGCGGAAGGTTTTTCAGGTGTTCTGGTCATACCCTGTCCGGACCTGGTGCTGTTCGATTTTTCACCGACGAAATGGCATCTCGGATTTCGGAAGGGAGAACCGGTGGTACAACATATCCATCCCCCTTTATTTCTTATGGTGGAAGATGGACGTGGCTATCGAAGAGATCCGAGTAGTATTCGTGAACGATTTTCTCCATTGCTTTCTGGACGCTGCAACTGTTCCGTCTGGGCACCGGAGAGCAATCATTTTAGTCTTGTAATTGGCTGGGCTTTGCGAATCTTTTTCCAGCCTCTGCAGCTTCGGCCATTACTGCTGCTCTTCGCTCTCTAAGATCTTTTATCATCTCTCTGCATTGTTTTGCAAGTTCGGACGTTAGTTCGCTGTTGCCTGCAGCTCGTGCGATTCCACACTGGCGTATCAGCTCGCGTGTTTCTGGAGACAGACGTCTCTTGGTGACTCTCGAACTCTGAGATCCCATAGCCCTAGCGTGATGTTGAATGAGCCGATCTTATTCTTCGTCGATGTTATCGACAACGGCATCTTCCTAACAGCCGACTAATGCATTGAACAAATCCCAGTTTACGGTGATTCTGGGTCTTCGGTTTTGGAATTCAGCGGCTTTTTCTCCTTTCCGCGAGAAATAGAATATTGCACGAAGGAGACGATGGTCTGGTCCCGTGTAGAATTTTGGAATAACAGCGACATCTGTTAGGCAAGGCCTTCTATTTACTATGATGTAGTCTATTTCGTTATGGTACTCTCCATTGGGAGACTCCCGCGTCGAACGCTGAGGGTGGGGCTTCTGGAATTGCGAGTTACCATGGATTGTCTTGGTCGCCATGTTAAACTCAGGCGGCCGCTCACCCTGTTCGTTCATTTCTAATCCATGGGTCCCAATGTGACGTTCTTCTTGGTCCAATCTTGGCGTTGAAATCTCCAATGATGACCTTGAAGAATGTGTGCTCTTCTCTGTAGAACTTCTCCAAGTCCATGTAGAACGCTTCGACTTCTTCTCCGTCATAGTTTGATGTCGGCGCGTAAGCGGCGAAGATTGTCAAAGCCGGGTTTGATCCACGTCTTCTTAATCGTAAAGGTCCGATTTGGGTTGCAAGTTGTTCGATTAAATCAATAATCATGGACAAACTCGTGTTGACGAGAACACCGACGTCGCCGGCTCCTCTACTGTTGCATGTTCCGAGGAACAGTTCTTCTCCGGTGTCATAGACAGCGTCGAAAGGGTGACGTTTTCTCGTCTCGGCCAGGCCAGTGACGTCGTACCTTATCCTTCTTGCATGCATGGGCAAATCTTCTATCAAGGACTCGGATGCAAGTTCACGTGCATTGTAGGTACAGATCGTCGCCATAGTTCTTTGAAATCCAGGCAGTTTTCATTTGCCCTAAGATTTTAGCAGCTTCTCCGTACTAGTCCTACCCAACGCTGCGAAATTGGGGCTTTTTCGGGGTCAGGGGAATGAGGCCCGTTTTTTAAAACTGTGTTTAGCATTTTTGATAACCACGTATAGCTTACTAGAGTCTGAACGTGAGGACTAGGTATACTCACGGGTAGCTTACCAAGTTCTCGCAGAGTGGACATGGGGCTTATTTGTTGGAGGCGACTCCTAACCGCCTCCCATATACTTCCCAGTTACTTGATTGCAGGCTTTTGGCCGAATTGACTCGTAGAATACAATCCGCATAAGCAAGAACGCACCCACACACGCACGCATGAATACGCCTAGCAAATACAGAAAGTATGTGCCAAATCAGCGCAGCAGAAACGGGGACTCCATCTCTTGGATCCACCTGCGTTTTAGTGAAGCAAAGGTCGCTTTTATTCCGCGTTTAACTCCCTATCCGGCACCTGGGGACGCGCCACGTGGCCCCGCGACTAACCGGCTCGAGATCCCTCATATGAGGGAGGTCCGTGGAAAAATTTGACCTTTATTATTGTTATTGTATTATGTATTGCCAAATTTGTCCTTTATTATTTGTAGTGGAGGACGAAAGTGGCGGAAGGGAAATCCAGTGGAGTGCTTAACTCATGCTTACCTTTGATTATCTCAATTCGTGCGAATTAAACCGGTTCACCGCAATTTACCTGGTTAAAAAGGATAAAGAATAAAGCTCTCGACGTTGATCAACCCCTGAGTGGTGCGCCGTGCATTCGACTTCACTAAGCATCGTTTGGAGGTGATTGAATGGATATTTGGCTTTTACAATGACTTGCGGTTGCCTACCGATGTATCGAGCTAGTGTTGCTATCCTCCCAGACAAGTTTGGTACCAATTTGCCGGGTCCCGGATGGTGTAGTGGTGAAGTGCGCTGCTCCCCGGTAAGAACAACATCGCGTGTTCGTTCTCCATTGCATACACCTGTGGTCCGGAGTTTTGCAAATATCTCAGCATTTCATACGAGTTATATTTCGCAACATAACCTGCCATTAAGAATAAAAAGGCAGTAAATAAAAGAGTTAAGTTTATTTATTCTCTTAATTTTTACGATACAGACGACGTCGCCGCGATAGATAAGGAGTGCGCAGGCTGCTTGAGGGCTGAAGTAAAGATTCATTTCCACGTTCTGTGCCATGAATAGTGAACAAATAGTCCATTGTTTGGGAAATACAGTGTCTTTTAATATGGAATCCTGGTATACATTTCTGCCACTGATTCAGGGTCCAGCTTAAAGATTTGGGGAAAAGGACACGAAAGGACAACCTTATAGACTGTCATAAATAAGAAGCATGTGTGTCATGACTTAAGCTGGACTTCGAGTACCAGCCAAACTGAATAAACACTATTTCTAAGAAATCATTCCATGGAAAGTTAAAGTTCTTTCAAATAGAATGACGTCCTGCTACCCGAGCACATGCACAATTTAGTGGAGTGTTGACTGGGTTCGTGAACTCAGCTGGTTTGGACAGTTAGTTTGTTCTGCCAGACTAAATGTATCTGTCTGACAATAATATTTACCCTTGCTAACCGTAACCGTAAGAACAATAGCGCGCGTTCGTTCCCCACCGCATACACATGCGATCCGGAGTTTTGCAAATATCTCAGCGTTATATACGAGTAACCAATAATGCTCTCTGAACCATGCTTATCGTCCACTATCAGTTCCGTGCTTAAATTTGTTGCTAACAATAGTGAAGATGATTCGACCACCTACTATTAGTGGTTGTTTTGTTAGAGAGGGAAGGCATCATGTCAGCTACACTCAACGAACACGTTGGCTACGAAGGCTTAAGAAACGAATTGATTCATGGAGCACGTCGTTGAATTATTATCCACATAGACTGGTGAAATGTATGTTGGATCGATATTAGTCATTACTCTTGGTGGCGTTCTACTCATGAAGTTCCGTTTTTAGACTTCCGATAAAGACGACTTCGATGCGACTACGAAGAATAACATCGCGACAAACGACTTTGGACCATCGACTCAGATCAGTCCACCTTTGAAGAACCCGAAGCACCTAAAACGTTAATCGAGTAAAAGTTTCCTAACCATCTCGTGTTAGTTTAATCGTTTAGGAAAATGCTAAAAAATGACTTCATTTCCTTCAATCTACGGGGTATTCAAATTTTCAGTATTTAGTGGGGAAGTGTTTCGTAAGGTTCAGCTTCCTGGGGATTTTTGTACTTTATGAACAACGCCGAACAGTGTTGGAGCCGATTTGAGATAAAAGGTGATTGGATGTCACCAGATCTTTCCCATACGTAGCCAGCAGCCTTTGGAGATAGGAGGAAGCTCTTCCCAGAGGAGTCTGGTACCAATTCCCCGACTTAGGAATGAAAGAAGGGTTCGTTGGCTAAGCTCGGTTCGAAACAAGGTCTTACAGTGCTATTTCAAGGAATTTCCATCATGTGCAAGTCGATTATTACACATTTGAAATAAGTACTAACGCGTTAGACCGTTATCATGTCTGCACGGCATCGACTGTAGGAAAAGTCTGGCAATTATCGATTTAACTTTAATATTACGGGCTTCTTATCGAAATGGAAGGGAATTTGTCATGCTATTTTTGAAAATCTTACACTTTTTCCAAGTGGAGTAAGGGTCACCGAAATTTTTGGAATTATCCCACGTCCTCGAGTAGGCTGAGAAGCGTCTTCTA